GCCCTTCAGCCAGCATGTTGATCGAGTGGTTCGTAACTATTAAGTCAAGCTTATCAATGATCGTCGACGTAGCCGCGCTGCTATCGTCGACCCTGAACATCTCGACGGCCCTCATGACAACCTCCATCTTCCGCAATTTCGACTCGACAGCTTTTGGGGTCGGTGGCTTTTCTTTTGGCTGGTCCACCGCAACGAGGGGAACGGTGGGAGGAGTCGGAGTGAACTTACTGAACTTGACGGCGAAACCCCTCCTGTAAGCGTGTCGAAGACTGTGTCCGTTGTTCAGCGGGCTTGGCCCGTCCCAGTACGACCACGCCTGCCGCACGGTCTTGCAATTGCACCACGGCCACACCACTGCGTCGAAGAATGCTTGGTCGAGCTGGCTGCCCTTGCTCTGTTGAGTGGGCGTTGATTGAGGGGGTTGCTGTGGTGGCGGGGTGGTTTCTTCGGTCGCCGTCTGCGGCACACTCTCGCTCCCCCCCACATTCGCAGCTGCGGTTGTCGCGGCGGTAATCTTCATTGCGTCGAACGCTTTCTGCAGTAGCGCGAGTGCTTCTGCCTTCGCCTCCAACTCCGCTTGCATCGCGCCCTTCTCCCGCTCCAATGACTCGACCTTCTGCTCGAGGCCCTTGATCTTTATTTCTTTTTTCCCACCCTCCTCCTTGTGTAAGTTAACCTCTGCCCGAAGTTGCGTGATGAGGTGCTTGGTGTTGAGTTGAAAGGATGCGTCCTGCGCACAAGATCACGAGCGGTAGGTAAGTGGGCTGATGCAATCTGTTCGGATTAAGATTTAGAAGGGCCATCTTACCGAAGCTCTCGACAGCGTAGGGTTGGTCCGCATCTCGATGCCGTACTTGTCGAGCAGGTACACGTCAAGCGCCCATTTTTGGAAATCCATGTCCTTGCACAAACCGGACATCTGTGCATAAGGGTGACGCTCGCAGTCGCAAACAGTCACTCCGTCGAAGGGGTGGTCGTCACAATGGACGTAGTACATCGCAAGATCCTCGGCGATGGGCATTCGGGCGGCTTGCAGGGCCTTCAAGAAACTTTTCGCTGCGAAGAACATATGCTCCTTGTCCTGCTCGTTGTTCCATTCCATCGCCTGAACAAGAACAAACGTGGTGACATTGAGAGATAGACGGGCAAAACTTGCATTCGATGATCACGCTAAGCGCTCGACGCATCCATACCTCATCGAGCCACTGCTCCGCCTTTGGAAATATGTGCTCCTCGATAGCCTTCAGGACCTTCGCGGGTACTTCGCTCTTCGATCTTCCAAGGTAATAGTTACCCGGTTCCGTCGTGAAACCCGCTTGCAGCTGGATGGCCCCGCGCGGGATGCCTGTGACGTATGACCTGCGCATCTCGTTCATGTCCCATTGACCCAGCTGCGCGATGTTGTCGAGTTCACAGTTTTTGTCGGCGAGGATCTGTGCCGCAGACCGTCGAAAGATATGTGTGACTTTCGACAGGATCCACTCTGCGCTTTTCATTGCCCAGGTAACCCATTTGGCATGAGTCGCGTACGGAAACTCGGTCTTGTCCTTGTCGAAGAGGGCGAAGAACAGGTGCTTCCTTGACCAATTTTCCGGGTTGCTGAAATCCAAGGGGGACACGATCTTATCGTTGTTGTAGTGGAGCGGCACAAGGTCGAAAACGAAATGTATCCACATGAACACTGCTCCAAAGCCGCACTGCCGGAAGTCCATGTGTCGAGTCAGGTACAGGTGGCCGAGCTTGTTGTCTTTGATGGTCTTCGAGTTGCGATAGGCGACCACGAGAACATGGATCGACGATTCCCCCTTGCTGTTCGTGATGGGCGGAAGGACGTGAGTGAACATATTGCAGTAGCGGATCTCGCGGATGCTTATCCCCCTGCCCAGCATGTGATGCGCCATCAGGATCATCACCCTCACGGCCAAGGCCCTCCACAGCGACTGACTGGGGTAACTCATCGGCTCCCGAAAGTACTCCTTGGCCCAGTACGGCAGGATGTCTGAAACGAGAATGCGGAACTGCTCCTCCGTGTAAACATCGTCGAGCGAGCCCCGGTGTGGATCGACGCACTGCCTGCATTGAGTGGGCAGATACAGCGAGTACTTGGGTGAGAATTTGAGTGAAAAGTTTTAGAGTCCGGTGTATGGCAGCCTACTTACTCGAACTGAAAGTCGTACAGCTGCCGCAGCTTGACCGCAAGAAGTTGCCGGGCCTCGGTGATGTCGTCCAAGGGTTTCGTTAGTGGCTCGCCGAAGAGTATGGCCTCTACTCTGCAGAAGCACGTCAGCGCAGTAAGGCGCGCCAGCATCATCGGAGGGGTGCTTTTTTTCGCCTTCCTTCCAGCGACTCTGGTCCGGCTTGTATCCAACGATGCCGCCTGTTGGTCGGTCTCAGTCGACATGTATTCGACGTACGCGCGCAAGCGCCATTTCGTTATTTTCGGCCCATGCAGGTGCTCCTCGTTACGCAGCGCCTCCCTCCATCTCGGCCCCATATCGTCGCCGATCTCCCTACCGATCTCGTCCTCGTAGATCACCTGCTCCTCTTTAGGCACTCCGTTGCTTCTCTCGGTTGCCAGAATTTTACAGGCCCAAGCTTTGTAGTGCATGCTTCCAGAGGCATAGTTCGGCCGTGTGGAATCCTGGTCAACTCCCAGCAGCGGAACCTCACACCGGAGAATCCTGCTTTTAAGTGTTCCGGTCGCCAAGTACGGATTGTCTGCGTCCGGTTGGTCGCCGAGAATGTGCGCGGCATCCTCCTCTGATATATTTGCCGCAGCAGGCCGCAGAGGGTCCGGCGGTTCGACATCGTCCGCCTCCCGCTGTTCTCCCGTCCGAACATCCTCATCGTCCGTCGCTTCAGGGACGTTCCTGGCTAAGTCCTCTCTGCTTGGTCTCGTCGAAGTGCGCCTAGGAGCGGCGGGGGCGGCTCGAGAAGCGGATGTGCCGGCTGGGGGTGGTTGGCGAACCTTAGGCGGAATAGCCCTCGCTCTCCTACGTCGCCCACCTGTCGAGGTCGGTGCACCAGCCGAAGGTTCCGTCGAGCGGTGGGCTGTCGACGATGGTGCACGGTCAGCTGGAGCCTCGTGGGTAAAGGGGGCATTTGTTGTTGAGATGGGTTCTACGACAACAGGTATGGATTGACCTGTCGAAGGGAATTCGGTCTGTGCACCACCCACTTCAACAGTGACCGGAATACCCGTCTAACGCTGGTACGTAACAACCGGCTGTATTACTACCGGTATGGCTCGCGACGTCGAGGTGGGCGCTGCCACCTCCGGTATGGCACGCGTCGTCGAAGGGGGCGCGGAAGAAACCGGCCTGGCTCAAGACGACGAAGGGGGTGGTGTCGAGATGGACTCCAATTCGACAGGTATCCGTCCTTCGTCCGCCTGCCGGGAAGGCGCTGTCGTCGACGGATCGGTCTCCATCAGTGCCCACCGAAAGCTACCGTTTCTCCCTAAATCCTGGCCTGCTGAGAAAACTGTGGTGCTTCTACTATGAATTCAGGTTTATACAGCGACCTTGGGCTGATGTTGCTCCCCGTGGAGACTGAGACATTTGACGTGGCAGTCAGCAGTTGACGTGAACGTTTGACTGCGACAGACGTGACCCGTCGCCCATCCGACAGCGACAGTTCGCTCGACCGACGAGGCGAGAGGTCGGCCGCAGTTGACGTCTCCGTCGATTGCGACCGTCGGCTGGTTGCGAAACAGGTTTCGCATCCGCCGACCGTCAGCGCCACCCTGTAGGCGATGCCCTGGCGACTTGCCACCGGGTGTAACCAGTGTTGTCGGGGGTGCACGGTGCTCGACGGCGATTGGCCAATGTCCGCGACAAATGTCCCCGAAATTGCAACAGTGCGGCTGACTTATATATTGGCATAAGAATACGACATTGAACCCGCGGGTTTCGGAGGGTTTTTTGGCCTGGTCAGCCGGGAATTTTCGGGGGCCCAGAGGGATTCCGCGGGTTTTTCGTTTTGCCTCAATTCCCTTTGTGCCAGGGCCGGCGGGGCGGCATGTGCTGACGTCACCCGTGTGTATATAATCGGGATGAGACGTGACTCAAACAGAAGTAGCAAAGATTACGGTTCAGTAAGTTCCGTAACGTCAAAGAGAGATATGTGGATCTGATTTGTCAACAACCCTAGACAGACAGTTACACACTCCTCCATGAATTCCTGCCATGCCAGCATTTCACAGACCAATCTTCCCCTCATGCCTCCATTTCCATCTTCTCTTCATCCCTTGCCTTATCACTCCTCGCTGGGGGAGGTCGAGATTGTTGATTAGATGGTGCCATTTTCGCGTTCTCTGTAAACCCGCATTTCAGCACGCAACTCCATGCTCCTTGCCTGGAGCACCTGCCACGTGCATTGCTCCGTGCATCTGACACCGAATCCCGCATTGTTACACGCTCGTCGTCCCCTTGCTTTGGTGTATATTGAGAATTCCCAACAACCACTTGCGAATCCTGCGACAAATCCGGCACCGTTACACGCTTGTCGTCCGCGTCCTTCGCGCCTCTTAGTCTCGCACTCACCGCGCTTCCCATCTCTGCCGAGAAACGGACGCCCGAAAATCTTCAAACGGAGATATCCGCCAGTCTTCGCAGGGGAAGTTGCGGGGGAACGCGCGAGCCTAGGCGGAGATTACGGTGTTGAGTCCGGGAATTCGCGCGGAATGGGGGGAGGAGTGGCGGAGGTGTTGCGCGGGCGGTGGTGGGAGGATCAAGCGATGTTAGGGTACAAGAGGGAGAGAGCGCACGTGCCTCTGCACTCCCATGCGACTGTTGATGGTACAGATGGTTACATTACATGGACATGTGATGCCGCCCAGGCCATCTTCGACCACATTGCAATTTCGAGATTGGTTGTTCAACATGAGCGTTGATCATCATTTCATCATCAACGTTCAATATACGACAACGTTGGTTATTAAGAGATTCGTACTGTTCATAGCATACTGTAAATATTCTTCCCCTTCCTCCTCCCTCCCAATGCCCCGTCAGACGCCCTTCGTTTCTGGTACCACCGAGACAGAGCAGCCACGTTCGAGGCAGCAGATGCTGCCACCTGGGCGCCTGGAGCTGGCGCTGACGTGGCAGCGGTACGGAGCGCCAGGTGGTGGGTCCACGGGCTGCAACGTGTCACCTCTCTGAGTGGCTCCTGGCGGTTCCGGCTGTTCCCGAGACCTGAGGAAGTTCCTGAGGGTTTTTTTGCGCCTGGATTTGATGTCTCTGATTGGTCTACACACCCAGGTAATGGGTTCGCGAGAAGTGGTTGCCTTATAATATTGTTCTTAAGCTTGATTCTGACTTAGCAGATTTACCCCTATACCAAGACCAGCCAGCTTCTCACATTTACAGTCCTCCTCCTTTTTTGCAAACGTTCCTCCCTCCCTCCCTCCGTCCCTCCGTCCCTCCCTACTTTCCTCCCTTCTCGCCGTTCCCCTTCTCTCCTCCTCTGTTGAACACCCCCCGCCTCTCTTGCCCTTCCCCCCTTCCCTTCCCCTCCTTGCCCCCCTGCATGCAGTCCCATCGCACTGGCAGCTGCAGCTTCAGCAAAAGAAGCAGAAACAACAGCAGCAGCAAGCACTCGAAACTGGAAGCGTCGCGGCAGCATCAGTAGCAGAAACAGAAGAGGATCCAACAGCAGCAACACCATCACCACTGCCAGCACCAGCAGCAGCAGCGTGGGCGTGGGAGGAGGTGGAGGACCCGCCCATCTACACCAACATCCAGTACCCCTTCCCCATCCAGCCGCCCTTCGTTCCCACCGACAACCCCACCGCCTGCTACCGCCGCCGCTTCTCACTCCCTGCCTCCTGGTCAGGTGGGGATCTCTTGTGCTTCCTGTTCATGTGGTTTTCAGGTGTTTCTGGATTTTTAATGGGGTGTGTTCCCAAGCCCACCCACCCCTCCCCTCTCTCCTGCTCCCATCAACCCCCCCTTGCCATGCCAGCACATCACGCTGTGCCTTGAGGGAGTGGATTGCCATCCAAGTGTGGCTCAACAAGCACTACCTCCCTCTCACCCATGGCCCTCACACGTGCCCCTCCTCGCTCTCCATGCTGCCATGCATCCCTTGCCAGGCCAGCACATCACGCTGTGCTTTGAGGGAGTTGACTCCGCCATCCACGTGTGGCTCAACGGTCACTTCGTGGGGTATAGCCAGGACAGCCGCCTGCCTGCAACTCAGCACTCGCAAACCTGTCTCTCCCACCACCCCTCCCCATCGGTCCCTCCACCCTGGCAGGCCAGCACATCACGCTGTGCTTTGAGGGAGTGGATTCCGCCATCCACGTGTGGCTGAACGGTCACTACGTGGGGTACAGCCAGGACAGCCGCCTCCCTGCCGAGTTCAACGTCACACCTTATTGTATCACGCGTGGGAAGGAAAAGGGCGAAGAAGGCACTTCCGAGGGGAACAATCGGGAGGGGAAAACTCGTGAAGCAGAGGAGAAAGTGCGGGTGCGAGGGGTGGTGGAGAGAGCAGGGGATGGGGAGGAGGGGGATGGGGATGGGGATAGGGAGGGGGAGGGGGAAGCGGAAGGGGAGAATGTGTTGGCGGTGATGGTGGTGCGGTGGAGCGATGGGTCGTATCTGGAGGACCAGGACCACTGGTGGCTGTCTGGCATGCACCGCGACGTCACTCTGCTGTGCCGCCCACAGGTGAGATTCGATTTCATTCCTTGACAGTTCAGGTGGGGCCTGAGGTGGAGAGAGAGGAAACCAGAGAAGGGGATGCGGATGGGATGGAATGGGGATGGGTATGGGGATGGGGACGGACGGGGTTGGGGTTGGGGATGGGGACTGGTGAGGGGGATGGGGGAAGGGGAGAATGTTGTGGCGGTGATGGTGGTGCGGTGGAGCGATGGGTCGTATCTGGAGGACCAGGACCACTGGTGGCTGTCTGGCATGCACCGCGACGTCACTCTGCTGTGCCGCCCACAGGTGAGATTTGATTCGTTCAGTGACAGTACAGGTGGGGCCTGAGGTGGAGAGAGAGGAAAGCAGGAAAGGAGATGGGGATGGGGATGGAATTGGGATACTATGGGGATGGAGATGGGAAGGGGAAGCGGAAGGGGAGAATGTGTTGGCGGTGATGGTGGTGCGGTGGAGCGATGGGTCTTACTTGGAGGACCAGGACCACTGGTGGCTGTCTGGCATGCACCGCGACGTCACTCTGCTCTGCCGCCCACAGGTGAGATCTTATTCTCCACTCTGTCGGGTTCGATTCACTCCATCTGGCCCCACAGCCAAGCTCTTCATCCTCTCCCCTGCCCTGTGAACTGGGGGTCTCCGATCCGAGGACCATAGGTGACTTGCTTAAGAACCGAGGGCATATGAACTTCTTAGTTCCAATCATCTGTTTCCTGTCCTGTACCTGTTTTCTATGTGTTCCTGTGTGCTGTGAGCCTCCTTCAGGTGCATATAGCGGATTTGGAGGTGAAGACTGAAGTGTCTGACGACATGCAGTCTGCAACGGTCAAGGTGAGATGGTTGATTCCGCTCATACGGTTGTACATGGTTGAATGTGGTTGTGTGTGGTTGTATGTGGACTTGGAGGTGAAGACTGAAGTGGCTGACGATGTGCAGTCTGCATCGGGGAAGATGCGATGCTTGCTGCTTCTTGGTGCTTCGAGAGGGGTCTGTGGGTGGGTGTATGGACGGCTTTTGAGGCGCCTCAAAAGTTGTATGTGGGTCTGTGGGTGGGTGCATGGACGGCTTTTGAGGCGCCTCAAAAGTTGTATGTGGGTCCGTGGGTGGGTGTATGGACGGCTTTTGAGGCGCCTCAAAAGTTGTATGTGGGTCTGTGGGTGGGTGTATGGACGGCTTTTGAGGCGCCTCAAAAGTTGTATGTGGGTCTGTGGGTGGGTGTATGGACGGCTTTTGAGGCGCCTCAAAAGTTGTATGTGGGTCTGTGGGTGGGTGTATGGACGGCTTTTGAGGCGCCTCAAAAGTTGTATGTGGGTCTGTGGGTGGGTGTATGGACGGCTTTTGAGGCGCCTCAAAAGTTGTATGTGGGTCTGTGGGTGGGTGTATGGACGGCTTTTGAGGCGCCTCAAAAGTTGTATGTGGGTCTGTGGGTGGGTGTATGGAGAGCTGTATTAGGTGCTGCCGAAAGGCTGGCTTCTTAATACTTAATAATACTCCATACACCTAATACTCCCTACTTCCTCCCTCCCTTCCTCCCCTTCTTTCATTTTCCTCCTCCTCCTCCCTCGAGCTCAGCTAGAGGTTCTGCTGGAGGGCTGGCCCCGCTGCGACATCCAATCTCTTCTCGACAGCTGTCACGTCGAGGCCTACCTCTTCGACGCGTGGCGCTCCCCCCCACCGCCGCCATCTCAGCACCCCTTCTCTCCCTCCTCCTCCTCCTCCCCCTCCCACGATCCCTCCTCCTTTCCCTCCTCCTCCCTCTCCTCAGTCCCCATGTCCCCCACCTCCTGTCCCCCTAAAGACCCTGAATTAGACGATTTAGAAGCGCTGAGGCTCCCTGAAGCGGCGGTTTTCCAGGCTGTAGGGCTGGGGGCGGGTGATAAGAGAGGGGAAGGGGGAAATGGGGGAGGGGAAGGCGTGGGAGTGGGAGGAGGAGGGGGAGAGGGGAGTGGAGGATGGAAGGATGATAAGGTGGTGGTGATTGGGAACACGATGCGAGTGCGGATGGAGGCCAAGGTGGATAAGGACAAACTTGTGTTGTGGTCTCCTGATCTGGTGAGAAAGAAGCTTCCGCTGGGGCCATCTGCGTTGAGCTACTAGTGAACTTCAAAAATAGGAATAGAGTCAACTTAAAAAATAGGTTGTCAGACCAGGTCTTACAAACCAGACACCTGGTTTGTAGGTGCCTGGTCTGGTTTGTAGGATCTGTGTTTGTCAGACCAGGCCGTACAGGAGGTGCTTTAGAACCTTCATACCGGGTCCTACGAACCTATCAGACCTGAAATCTGTCCTGCTCGAACCTTACCCCTTCTTCCCCAAACCCTAGATTCCCACCCCCCCTCAGCCACACCTGTTCACGCTGGTGGTGACTCTGGCAGATGCCTCAGGGCGGGCACAGCAGGTGGAAGCAGCGAGGGTGGAGGTGAGGCGGGTGGAGGTGCGAGGCAGATAGCTGCTTCACATCCCTGTTTCATTTCTTCTCCTTTCTCCCTGATCCCTGACCCACCCCACTTCTCTTCGCTTCCTCCCTTCCCCTCCCTTCCCAGCCACACCTGTACACGCTGGTGGTGACGCTGGCAGATGCGTCAGGGCGGCCACAGCAGGTGCTTAAGTTCCTCTCCTCTCCTCCCTGTCTCTCATCCCTCTTACTTCCTCTCATCTCATCCCCCAGCCACATCTCTACACGCTGGTGGTGACGCTGGCAGATGCATCGGGGCGGCCACAGCAGGTGGAGGCGGCGAGGGTGGGGGTGAGACGGGGGGAGGTGCGGGGGAGAGAGCTGCTGCACATCCCTGATCTCCCACCCCTCTCCCTTCCTCTGATCCCCTATTCCCCAGCAACACCTGTACACGCTGGTGGTGACGCTGGCAGATGCGTCAGGGCGGCCACAGCAGGTGGAGGCGGGGAGGGTGGGGGTGAGACGGGTGGAGGTGCGAGGCAGATAGCTGCTGCACATCCCTGATCTCTGATTTCTCACCCCTCTCCCTTCCTCTGATCCCCTATTCCCCAGGAACACCTGTACGCGCTGGTGGTGACGCTGGTAGATGCATCAGGGCGGCCACAGCAGGTGGAGGCGGCGAGGGTGGGGGTGAGACGGGTGGAGGTGCGAGGCAGATAGCTGCTGCACATCCCTGATCTCTGATTTCTCACCCCTCTCCCTTCCTCTGATCCCCTATTCCCCAGCAACACCTGTACGCGCTGGTGGTGACGCTGGTAGATGCGTCAGGGCGGCCACAGCAGGTGGAGGCGGCGAGGGTGGGGGTGAGACGGGTGGAGGTGCGAGGCAGATAGCTGCTGCACATCCCTGATCTCTGATTTCTCACCCCTCTCCCTTCCTCTGATCCCCTATTCCCCAGCAACACCTGTACGCGCTGGTGGTGACGCTGGTAGATGCGTCAGGGCGGCCACAGCAGGTGGAAGCAGCGAGGACTCCCTGGTCCCTGAACTCTCAAACCTCCCACAAACAACCCCCTTCCCCTCCCGCACCCCAGCCACACCTGTACACGCTGGTGGTGACGCTGGCAGATGCATCAGGGCGGCCACAGCAGGTGGAAGCAGCGAGGACTCCCTGGTCCCTGAACTCTCAAACCTCCCACAACCCCCTCCCCCTCCCGCACCCCAGCCACACCTGTACACGCTGGTGGTGACACTGGCAGATGCGTCGGGGCGGCCACAGCAGGTGGAGGCGGCGAGGGTGGGGGTGAGGCGGGTGGAGGTGCGGGGGAGAGAGCTGCTGGTGAACGGGAAGGCAGTTGAGGTGCAAGGGGTGAACCGGCACGAGCACCATCCACAGACCGGGAAGGTCAACATCGAAGAGTGCATGGTCAAAGTAAGTCAACGCTGGTCAAGGGCTGGTAACGCAGGTGGTGAGTCAACGCTAGTCAATGCTGGTCAAGGTGTGAATGGGAGGGCTGTGGAGGTGAAAGGGGTGAACCGGCACGAGCACCATCCACAGACTGGGAAGGTCAACATCGAAGAATGCATGGTCAAGGTGAGTCAACGCTGGTCAACGCTGGTCAAGGTGAGGCGACGCTGGTTAAGTTGGGATATGCATCTCTTCTCATTCCCTCACTCCCGCCCTGCTCCCTCCTTGGCCCCACCTTCACAGGATGTGGTGGAGATGAAACGACACAACGTGAACGCTGTGAGATGCAGCCACTACCCCAACCACTCCCGCTGGTACGCCGCCCTGAATGGCCATTTTCTCTCCCTGTCAGCTCCCGGTTCGCCTGCTCACAATAGCCTGCCACTGCAGGGAGTTTTTGAGAATTTTCAAAAACTCCCTGCCACACACAGCCATTCTCCATCCATCCCCAATCCCTTTCCCGTTCCCATGCCCATGCGGCGTGCCCACGCCATACAGCTAGAGGGTTTTTTTTGAGAATTTTAAAAAAATCCCTTTCCCGTTCCCATGCCCTTGTGGCTTGCCCACCCCATACCCACGCCCATGCCATACCGACTCTTATTCCCATGTGGAAACACGTGCCAATCCTCTCATCCGTCTCCTCCCTCTCTCCCCTCAGGTACGAGCTGACAGTTCTCTTTGGTCTTCTTGTGATCGACGAGGCGAACATCGAGACGCACGGGTTCGATCCAAACAACCACCTCTCAACAGGAAGGGGCGTCTCTCTCCCTTCCCTTTCATCCCTTCCCTTTCATCCGTCCTCTCCGTTGCTTCCTCTCATCTGTCTCCTTCCTCCTCCTCCTCCCCTCAGGTACGAGGTGACGGACCTGTTCGGCCTCCTAGTAATTGACAAGGCGAACATCGAGACACACGGGTCCGATCCAGACACCTCATCACTCTTCCCTCCCCTCTCTCATGCACCTTCCCCAGGTACGAGTTGACTGATCTCTTCGGCCTTCTAGTAATCGACGAGGCCAACATCGAGACGCACGGGTTCGATCCAGACAACCACCTCAACAGGAAGGGTCAACAGCCGGCCGAGGACCCCGAGTGGGCGGCAGCAGCAGAAAACATGGATTTCAACTCAACCCTTGTGCCCAGGCTCATTCCTTCTCTCTTCCCTCCGTCCGTTCCCTCTCATCCAACCTCTCTCCTGCTTCCTTGTGTCCGTCCCATCCCGTTCTCCCCTCAGGTACGAGCTGACGGATCTCTTTGGTCTCCTGGTAGTAGATGAAGCAAATATCGAGACGCACGGCTTCGATCCAGACAATCATCTCAACAGGAAGGGGCGGCAGCCGGCCGAGGACCCCGAGTGGGCGGCAGCAATGGGCGCGCGGGTGATGCGCATGTGCGAGCGCGACAAGAACCATGCGAGCGTGGTGGTGTGGTCGCTGGGGAACGAGGCGGGTTATGGGGCAACGCACGATGCCATGGCAGGTGGGACCGTGGGTTAGACTAGGTGGATGTTATGGGGAAAGCATTGGGACAGATTGATGGTCTGGGGATGGAGGGTATGGGGATGGGATGCTATGGTGATGGTAGTTAGGATAGGTTGCATAGTGTGGGGATGGCAGCGATGGGCGCGCGGGTGGTGCGCATGTGCGAGCGTGACAAGAGCCATGCGAGCGTGGTGGTGTGGTCGCTGGGGAACGAGGCGGGGTATGGGGTCACGCATGATGCCATGGCAGGTGGGGTAGATTAGACGGAAGTATTGGGGATGGATGATAGTACGCATGACGCCATGGCAGGTGGGGTAGATCAGACGGAAGTATTGGGGATGGATGATAGTAAGTTAGGGAACGTGTGGAGATCCTGCACCGATACACTAGGAATGGGGGAGGCCCCCACACCCCTGCAATGTACACCGCTCCCTAATTTCAGGCGAAGCATCCTCACCTCACTCTCACCCTCTCTCCCCCCCTGCTCCCCCTTCATCCATCCAGCATGGGTGCGTCACAGGGATCCGTCTCGTCCCATACATTACGAGGGGGACGGCTCCTCCACACTGCAGCACCATATAACATATGCACTCCCTGCAATCAACTTATCCTCACCTTCCCTGCTCCCGCTTCTTCCATCCAGCATGGTTGCGACACAGGGACCCGTCTCGTCCCATACACTACGAGGGGGGCGGCTCGCGCACCACTGCCACTGACATCGTTTGCCCCATGTACATGCGCGTGCCTGACATCAAGGCCATTGCTCAAGACCCCACCGAGACCCGCCCTCTCATCCTCTGCGAGTGAGTGATTTGATCGATGTTTTCTTATGTACTGCCCTGCCCCCAACTGGATTGCATTCCTCACCCCTGCTGCTGCCTCGGACATCATTTGTCCCATGTACATGCGCGTGCCTGACATCAAGGCTAAAGCTGCCGACCCCAAAGAGGCCCGCCCTCTCATCCTCTGCGAGTGAGTCGGACTTTTTATGTGGCTCAAATTGGTTGGGTTGGCACCACTGCCAGAGACCTAGTGTGCCCCATGTACATGCCCATGCCTGACGGATTGCATGGGCATCGATGCACCATGCCCCTTCTCACCTGAATACTACCTCCCCCAGGTACGCCCACGCCATGGGCAACAGCAGAGGCAACAACTACAACCATTGAGTCGACTCTCATATCATGTCATTGTCTCCCCATGTATTACCTCCCCCAGGTACGCCCACGCCATGGGCAACAGCAGTGGCAACCTGGATGCGTATTGGGACGCCATTGAGTCGACCCACGGGCTGCAGGGAGGCTTCATCTGGGACTGGGTGGATCAGGTGCGATAGGTTTTATCTGGGACAGGCGTTACCTATGTTACTGTGGAGGAGCATTGGGATGCCATCGAGTCGACCCACGGGCTGCAGGGAGGCTTCATCTGGGACTGGGTGGATCAGGTGGGTGAGACAGGGACAGGCTTTATCTGGGACAGGATTTATCCGGGAGAGGCTTTATCCAGGACAGGCTTTACCCGAGACAGCCTTTATCTGGAACAGTCATTATTAAAGGCAGTGCTAAGAAATCCCCCCCTCTTGGTCGCCCACTCTTCCCTTCCTACTCGCCATTCATGTGATAGACACTCGCCATCTTGCGATAAACAGTCTCACCCCACTCCACCCCACCCCACCCGACTCCGCCTCATCAAGCACCACCCACTTCATGCCATGCTCCTCATCTCCCTCCCTTTCAGGGGCTGTGGAAGGACATGGCTCCACGCATCAGCACACAAGTGGACAAGATTACCAGCAGCGGTACCTACAGTGGCATCAGTGCCACTGTAACAGAAAGTCCTGACAGTGATCCAAATGGCAAAGATGCTGCAGGATCACTTATGAGTCGACTCAAAAGCAACAAGATTACCAGCAGCGGTACCTGCAATGGCATCACTGGCACTGCAACAGCAACTCCTGACAGTGATCCGAATGCTAAAGACGCTGTAGAATCAGCTGGTGATCTGCCTTGTGTTGGTGCTGTGGGGGAAATGCCAAGTGCGGCACCGGTCGAAGCTGGGGAACCAGACTCAGCGCCACAATTGGTTGAGTCGGCAGCTGATTCAGCAGCTGAGTTGGCACAGGAAGGGGAAGCGACGGCTGGGACAGCAGTAGAAGGAGAAGCAGCAGCAGCAGCAGCAGCGGCACCAGCAGTTGCTGAACCAGCATCCTCAGCACCAACGTCAGTAGCATTATTGCCAGCAGCAGTACCTGATAAAAAACAAATCAGCGGCGATAAAACAGGAATAGGGAGGCAGCAGCAGCAGCAGCCATGGGAGGAGGTGGAGCTGCCAGTGAAGCATCCTGGAAGGTTCTGGGCGTATGGGGGCGACTTTGGGGACACACCCAATGATCTTAACTTCTGTATCAATGGACTTGTGTGGCCTGATAGGACTCCCCACCCTGCCATGCGCGGTAAGCATATTGTCATGTGCGGATATAGCACACTACCATGCGCGGTAAGTGTGCAACCGGTTATGAGGGGCTGTTACCTTAACTTCTGCATCAATGGGCTTGTGGGACTCCCCACCCTGCCATGCGCGGTAAGTGGGTTGGCATGCGAGGTATGCACCCTCTCATATGACTTTGGGGACACACCCAACGACCTTAACTTCTGCATTAACGGGCTCATGTGGCCCGATAGGACTCCCCACCCTGCCATGCGCGGTGAGCATCCTGCCATGCAAGGTAAGGGCGTTGGCTTGTGAGGTAAGGCTAGTATCTTGCGAGGTTACGTGTGTAACCAGTTACAAGGAGCCTCTTGACTCGACTCAAAAGTCACCTAGTATCTTGCGAAGTTAAGTGTGTAACCAGTTACAAGGAGCCTCTTGTAACCAGATTCTGAACCATGGGTTAACGATACATTCAGATTCTGAACCAGTTAAAAGGACCCGTGGGACCTCACATTCGTGTCTTCGGATTCTGAACCATGGGTTCGTGTCGCATGATAGGATGATGCTGCACCATGCCATGCGCTGCATGCATACTGTCATCAGAGATAAGGGGGCTGACATGTGAAGTTGATGTATACATACTGATATATAAGTTGATGCATGTATGAGCAGAGTAGCAATGAGGAGGCGACACATAACTTCCCTCCTGTACCCCTCATTCATGTAACCTTTCTCCACCATCCCACCATTCGTCCACCCCTCCACGCCCCACCACCAGAGCTGGCCCACGTGTATCGCTACTTTGGCTTTAAGTGGACGGAGCAGAGCAGCAATGAAGTGGAGCCTCGTGTTATCCCTCCTGTATCCTGTTCCCCTCTTTTCACCTTTCTCCACCCCCCTCATCCCCTCCACCCCTCCATCCCTCATTCACGCCCCACCACCAGAGCTGGCCCACGTGTATCGCTACTTTGGCTTTAAGTGGACGGAGCAGGGTGACGTTGAGGTATGACACGTGTCGAGCTGGGAGCATGCACAGCGGTGCTGAGGGATGTAGAGTGCTGCAGAGTGGTTTAGAGGGATGCATACCAATAGAGTGTTTGTGGGTGTGAGGGACCCGCATGCCCACCACGTACACCCCTCTGTACCGCACTCAATCTCTTCATCTCCGCCCTTATCTCCCTGTCCAATCTTCAACTCTTCTTTGTCACCTCCCATATCCTCCCACAAAATACGCCTCTCACTTACCCCTCTCCTTCTACACCTTCCCCTCTCTCTCTCCCCCCCTTTCCCCTTCCCCCCCTCCTCCCCTCTCTCTAACCACCAGGTTTTCAACAAGAGCTTCTACCAGCCCTCCTCCGCCTTCTCCTTCTCCTTCTCTCTCTTCTCCCTCCCTCCCCCCCCGCAACCCGCCACCGCCCTCCCCCCCTCTCCTCCCACTCCCATCCTCTCCAGCCCACTCGCCATTCCCACCACCATCCTGCCACGTCAGCGCCACATCATCCCCAGCCCCATCCCTGCTGACTTAGACTGGGCGGAGCATAATGTCAGCGCTGACTCAGAGCTCTTTGCACTGTTCACTGCTACAGTGAATGAGAGAACAAGGTGGTGCGATCCCGGGCAGGTTGTTGCATCTGTTCAGCTGCCCTTCAAGCTGCCCAAAGGAGCAATCACCTCAACCATTTCCGAGCCTTCCACCAAGCCTGCAATTTCAGAACCTGCGCTCTCTGAGCCTCCTCTACCCGTCCGCCAATCATCTGTTCTTGTCACGTCCACTGATGGCTCGTTCGAAATCACTATTCATGTCAAGACCGGTGGTGCACTTTCCTGGAAGGTGGGGCTTGTTCAGGGTTTAGGGTTTGTTCGGGTTTCCGTCATAGCATTCCATCGTATTCATGTTCACTACTTTTGCTGAACTTGGAATGTATTGGGACGTTTCAGAACACTCCTTCAATCACGTGACTATTCCATTGTATTCATGTTCACTACTTATGCTGAACTTGACATTTGACTATTTTGTGTTGAGCTAAGAAAGGAAGCATCTCCCTCATACCATCTAGAAACCCCATCCCTCCTCTGTTCCGCTTCTGCCATTACCCCCCTGCACCCCCAATCCTCCCATTTCCATTCTTTTGCCTCTCCTCCCATCCTCAGATCAACGGTTCAGATGTGCTTCTGCCCCCGTCCCTCGCTGCCCCCTGCCTCGCCCTGTGGCGGGCACCCACGGACAACGACAAGGGAGGTGGCGCCGCCAGCTATGCTGCCCGATGGAAGGCTGCCGGGCTCAGCACCCTCGCTGCTGCTGACGCTGGGGGGGTGATTTCCCTAGGGGGAGATGCTACAGTGGTTTCTGTAGAAGGAGGGAAAGGAGTCGGAGAGGAGGGAGAGAAGGGGGGAGTGGAGAAGGACGAAGAGGGGAGTGGTGAAGAGGGAAAGGGCACGGAGGGGCAGAAGGGAGAGGGTGATGATGAACCCTTGAAAGTTTCGATTGGAAAGGATGGGGCGGTTTCCGTGGTTGTAGAGGCAGCTTATCGACCCCGGGCAGATGAAATTTCTGAGGAGGGAGTTGTGGAAGCGGGTGCTGCCCCAACCAATCTGGTCGAGGCTTATGGAGGGGTGGAAGTTGAAGCATCAGCGAGCGGCGGGCAGGCAAAGAAACTTTCTGACGTGGACTGCTGGGTCCGGCTCAAGTCAGAATGGCAGATCCATGGCAGCGGGCAGGTTGTTGTGAAATTTTGGGTGGACCCAAGCCCTGCCCTGCCGCCCCTACCGCGCGTCGGAATGCGGTTCCGGGCAGCAAAAAAACTCTCCAACGCGGTCTGGTCCGGGCGGGGCCCGCATGAATGTTATCCTGACCGGAAGCAGTCTGCACACGTGGCGCTTCACTATTTGCCGGTGAATTCCCTCCACGTGCCGTACATTGCTCCTGGGGAGAATGGCGCGAGAGTGGACACGCGTTGGTTCACACTCTTTACAAGCACACAGGAGAGGGAACAACAGGGATCAGTGGAAAACCCACAGGGAGGTGCAGAAGGCGGCGGTTCACAGCCAGAAGCAGAGGGGGGAGCACAGGTGGAAGCGCAAGGGGAGGAAAGAAAGGAGGCGGATGGGGGGAAGGGGAGGGAGGTATTCCAGAAAGTTCCTTACTTAGGGCTTGTTATAGAGCCAGTGGAGATAGGAGGAGGGGAGGGACGTGGGGGAGGGAGCGAGGAGGGCAGGGAGGGAGGGAGGGCAGTGGTGCATTTCAGTGCAAGTGGGTACTCGGCAGAGGAGCTGCATCGAGCACAGCATGAGGAGGAACTGATTGAAGACGAGGAGTATAACCATGTGAGTGGCTTAACTGACTCAAAGGAGGTGACTTGTGAGTCGAATGAAACGAGGTAACTGGAGGGCCAACTCAAAAGCGGTGTCTTGAGAGTCTTACTGAAGAGTTTTCGAGTGCAGCGCTGGGAGAGGCCGGTTGAATACGCCATCTGCCAGTTCAGTGCGAGTGGGTATTCTGCAGAGGAGCTGCATCGAGCACAGCACGAGGAGGAATTGATTGAAGACAAGGAGTTCAACCATGTGAGTGGAGTGAAAGAGGTGGCTTCTGAGTCGACTCAGCAAATGTTTATTTCTGAGTTGATTCGAGAGTCGGTGGGCGCAGCACAAGGAGGAATTGGCATGATTGCATTGCAACAATCATGCCGTCCACCTCCATGTCATCGGGGCATCTCAATCATGCCATCATGGAGGTGGGCGGCGACGACAGCAGGACTCCAGCTGACCACCGAACCAAATCTCAGGATACCTACCTGATTACCTCCTCTCCCCCCCCCCTCTGCTACTCACACCCACACACACAACCCTTTCAGGTGCATCTGGATCATGCCATCATGGGGGTGGGCGGCGACGACAGCTGGACCCCATCAGTGCACAAGGAGTTTCTGCTGCCGCCCCGCCCGTACGCATTCGGGGTGGCGTTCCGGCCCCTCATGGGCCAGCGGGAGTGACGAGTTGAGCAGTGCATGGGGCAGCAGCGCGGCGACGACAGCTGGACCCCATCGGTGCACAAGGAGTTTCTGCTGCCACCCCGTCCGTACGCATTTGGAGTGGCATTCCGGCCCCTTACTGGGCGAATGGAGTGACGCTGCACAAGGCTTTCGAGGCGCCTCGAAAGGTAGCGTAGCGTTCCGGCTGGGAGTGACTCATTGATCGGTCGATGCATATTGAGTCTCTGCTGCAAACTACCCCACCTGTATGCATTTGGGGTGGCATTCCGGCCTCTGATGCATCAAGTATGCCTGCAGTACGGTACCGTACGTTATCCTGGGATACAGTAGCTACCGTAAATCTGGTTCCCATCCCAAAACTATACAGGATCTTACTGCTGCTACCCTGGTACCAGTATGAATCTGATGGGGGCATGTGGTAGGCTGGCAACATTTGCTCTCCATCTGACCTCTCGCGTGTGGATAGCTAGAATGGCTTTGAGCCTTCTGTGCAAAGCACCAGCAGTTTCTGAATATATGTGCTTGTGCAAGACATCAGATCAGAGCAGGCATGGTATTGCCTTTATGTTGTTAGGTGTACAGATCTTTATGGAAAGGACTGGGATGGAAAGGATAACACACACACCTAAATTTCTGTTCTGTAAATTGCTAACACATTCGCTGGGCTGCTAGACCCCCTAATAGACCATACTATGTGCATAATGCACCCTATTGGGAATTGGTCACATAGATAGGTGGAGAAGAATTTATGGTATTATGGGTTGGTATGAGGGTGTAGTGTATCAGCTGGATTTGGCTTTGCCAGTCTTCTGCCCCATGAGCACAGCAGCAAAGAAGATGAGGACGAAGCCAAGCATGAGCACAGCGGCAGCAGCAGGGATGAGAACAGCGTAGATGCGCGGGAGAAAGAGCGCGTTGATGAAATGACCGTCCGGGAGAAACGGCTGGAGGTGGGAGGGAGTGGGTAAGAACGGGAGAGGGTGGGAGACGGTGGGTAGGGAGGGGAGCATGAGCATAGATGCGCGGGAGGAAGAGCGCGTTGATGAAATGGCCGTCCGGAAGGAATGGCTGGGGGGGGGGGGGTGGGTGGGAGAGGGTGGGTGGGGATGGAGCATGAGCACAGCGGCAGCAGCGGGGATGAGCACGGCATAGATGCGCGGGAGGAAGAGTGCATTGACGAAATGGCCATCCGGGAGAAACGGCTGGAGGTGGGATGGGATGGGGAAGGGCAGCGGAAAAATGAAAGGGGGAAACAGCAGCAGCAGCAGCGGGGATGAGCTGCATAGATGCGCGGGAGGAAGAGCGCGTTGATGAAATGGCCGTCCGGGAGGAATGGCTGGGGGTGAAAAAAGGGGAAAGGGCGAGGGGCGGGGGGGAAGGGGCAGGGGGGAAGGGGGAAGAAAAAAGCGGAGTGGTGGCAACAGAGGGGATAAGAACCGCATAGATGCGCGGGAGGAACAGCGTATTGATGAAATGGCCGTCCGGGAGAAACGGCTGCACTTGGGTTGGGAGGGATGGGGGGAAAGGGGAGACAGTGGAAACAACGAGGGACGCGCAAGCACGGCATAGATGTGGGGAAGGAAGAATGCGTGTCGTTCGGCGGTGACCCGGTGGGAAGGAAAGAGAGAGGGGTGGGGTGAAGGTGGGGGGGAGAGGGGGGAGAAGGGGGGGTTGTTGGAAGAAAAGGAAAGAGGGGAGGAGAAAGGGAGAGACAGCAGAACCAGGAGAAACGAGCACGGCACGCATGGATGCGTGGTATGAAGAGGGAGTTGAAGGCCCGAGGAGGCACTCGGATCGGGGAGGCGATAATTGACGACGACACAGGAAGCACTGTAACCAGAAGTCGCGAACTAACCCGCACATCAATCAATTTTGGGACGCAAACAATCGTAGGCCGAGAGCCAGACCTGTATCGAGACGATCTTGTCAACAAAAAAAATCAGTACGGGGACATGGTACTCACTGTAACGAGGACCCAGATGCTGTAGTACGAGAAAACGGTAAGAGCGATCAGAACCAGCACGCCACCGACTAAGCGATCCACGGTGTCGCTCATCGCGTCTCCTAGATGCTAGGAAGGCATACGCCTCGTTTTCTATTCCTGAGAACGCTACCCTCCGGTGTGAAACAAGACCTCCGTGGCTGCCGTAGGTCTCGCTAGGTCGTGATGTGGACGGCCGAAAGGTCTTCCAGAATCCAGATTTGCGCATGTGAAGTGAGTTGAAAAGCTGGCTCAATTGAAATAAACTGTGCAAGTGAAAATAATTTAGTTTTTTTCAAAGTACAAGGGCGTGGTTACAATTGTTCTGCGAAGCCGGCGAAATCCGAATCACGAGATGTTACGAAGTTTCGAGTTTCACGCGCTGGTTTTGTGGAAGCACCGTCAAGCACCTTGAATCACGAGGGATAATCCGATTATCCCTCTGCACAGCTGAGTTGGGAGTTGCATCATTCCATCCAATGAAGGGCAGGTGAGGGCAGCACTGAAATGTTTATTGCACAGCTTGGCTGCCGCCAGAACCTGCTTCACGCAAAGCGTTTCCAGCTCCAGCTGTGCAAGGGAAGGTTTGCTCCTCCTGACCCTGTCATCAAAATTCAAGGATATTGCCGTATCATTCTGATTGGGGCGATCGTAACGGCAACGACGGAACAAACGATCACGATGTATGCAATGAGGTACAGACGGTTGGATGTGCCTTGAAAAACACGAGGGCATTTTCAAGCAGAAATAGGCTCGGAAGCTTGTCTGTCATGCCAGCCTCCCACTTTGATAGCCTTCTTCCAGCATCAGACACAGGTCGCCAGCACCACCAATTTTCACACCGACTCCCCCACCCATCTCCAATCTTAATATTTCTACTTCCACCCACGCATAATCCTCCCCATCCCTCCCCGTCCACCTCCCCCACCGTCTACCTCCACCCACCCACCCGTCCATCCATTCATCCTTTCCCAGCAAGCATTCACAAATCTTGGTTCATTCAAAATCAGAGCCAGCTCTGGAACCTGGTTTCGAGGAGCAAGATAGAAAACAGGTAGTTTTCTTTCTCTTCGTGTTGGTGGTGCATTCATTCCTTCAACATTTGCTATGTTAGGGTTGGGATTGGGATAAAACCTGGTCGGCTCCCAACCTAGTTCGCTGCTCTAAGATAGACCGGAAAGGAAGGCGACAGTTTCGGGAGAGTTCTGAGCGCTGTCATCGTGGACAGGTGAGAGTCTATGTAACTCGCAATGCCTTCTAAAATGTCAATGTCGCGTACAACAATGGATATTGCGAGATGTGCAAGTTAGTTTTCCAATGTTGCATTCATCGCAGATAGGACGAATGGCAGGAAACCGCCGACTATCTCGAACGCATGTTTCGCCATCTGTTACCCTCCTTTAGCATCTCCTTTTGTCCGGCGTCACACCTTACCCTAGGCGCATGTTGTGCCAATGCATTTTCTCAATATAATGCTGCCTAGAATCTTTTTGTGCATCGACAATGCTAGCTGATAACTCGCGTAACCTATTTGCCCAGCTTTGGTAAGGTTGCCAGGCTGCCTGACGCTGAGCCGGGTTGTTGCAGTGCATCCCCGCCCCCTTTCCTGTCAATAATCCCACAACCACGTTCATATAGACTCTCAAACAAAGAAATCGTATTTGCGAAATTTTTGTCTTCGTCGCAGCTGCAGTATTGAGTCCCGCGCCTGCGGAATAGGTCGCGCCTGTGTACGTTTTGTTCACACGCTTTTTGCATCATCTCAGCTTTTAAATTTCTTACGTCATGAGATTCAGATGTCATGCTCGCCGATGTTAACGGTGCGGGGTGTACGCATTTTGGTGTTCATTCATATGGCCACCTTACAGGTTTCCTGAACCGTCGAATATCAGATTCTTTTAGTCGGCTCAATAAACGATCGCCTTTGGGATGCAAGTCTCAGAAGACAGCGGAGATCACCCTGTTCGCCCACGTAGTCTGCTTGCGTACACGAGCTACTTCTGATCTGAACTAAATTCCGCGCGGCAAAGCCATATGCCAGCACTTTTAAGTCAACTCATACGACTGCTGTTGGATTCGTACGTGAGTGTTTTTCGATTCGACTCAAAACGCAAATACGGGGGAATAGTAAGCTCGTCAATGCAGTCTGCTAACGCGTCTCAAAGTGATTTTTCGGGTAGTGCTCTCATAACAGCGCTATGACTAACGAACGTGCATATAACGAGAACAAACCTCACCAATTACAATAAGTGCGTTCCCGTCGTGGACACAGGAACACTCTCCGACCACATCTCAGAAACAAACGATCTAGAAAACGAGCAAGTGTATTGTCCCTAACTCTTCGCTGCCTTCTTTCCCTCCCTCCGCGAGTTCCTTCCATCTCCCAACGACGGCGGCCTTTATATATACCTGTGAGCGGAAGCCGCTGGCTAGACCTGCCGTTCGTGCAGCTGCTGGTGGCGCTGCTCTCTCACCTCCACCCTTCACCGTTGAAATCACTTTCCTTCCTATCCGCCATTTTTTTCTTTTTTTTTTCTCCTTCGCTCGCAAATCCCTCCTATCTCTCTCCCAGCGATGGCGTGTTCTATACCTGTGAGCGGAAGACGTGGGCTAGACCTGCCGTTCGTGCAGCTGCTGGTGGCGCTGCTCTCTCACCTCCACCCTTCACCGTTGAAATCACTTTCCTTCCTATCCGCCATTTTTTTCTTTTTTTTTTCTCCTTCGCTCGCAAATCCCTCCTATCTCTCTCCCAGCGATGGCGTGTTCTATACCTGTGAGCGGAAGACGTGGGCTAGACCTGCCGTTCGTGCTGCTGCTGGTGGCGCTGCTCTCGCTGCACCCTCTGCTGCTGGGTGCTGCCGACACCGGCCCGCAGCAGACGCCTGACAGTAAGTGACGTCAGTCAGGAGGAGCTCTGGCGACACTCTGCCAATCACCAGATTCGGGACAGTGAAGTGGCTGATTTTTATTTGAATTCATTGTTCGGCAAATGCAGATGCCAAACCAATTGTCTGGCTATTTGGACGTGTGCTCCTCGTGTCCTCTCTCCTCCAAGCTCCCCCCTACCTTTTCTCTCTCCCCGTTCCCCCATCCCCACCCCACACCTGGTCTGGTCCCATCGTCCTGCTCCCCTTGTGTCCTACCCCTCCTCCTCCCCCTTTCCCACTTCTCCCTCCTCCAACTCTCTCTCTCTCCCTTCTCCCCAGTGGCGGCGCTGCTGCAGCTGCAGGCAGCGCTGCAGTCGACGGCCCCTGGGGTGCTGTCGACGTGGGGAGGGGAGGGGAGCCCGTGTGAGAAGGCCTGGACCACTGACATCCGCTGCGATCCCGTCACTCGCCGCGTGGTGCACCTGTGAGTTACTGCTACTGCCAAGTCCCATGTGGCGCATGTTGTTTCCATGTGTGTGTGTCCATGTGTGTCGTGTCTATGTCTCCCACCCTCCTCACGCCCTCACCACACCCTCCTCCTCACGCCCTCACCATTCCCTCACCACACCCTCCTCACGCCCTCACCATTCCCTCACCACGCCGTCTCTCCTTGCACCCCTCTCCTCTCCCCTTTCCCGTCATGTTTCTGCCTTGTCGTGTGCTTCTCTGCTGCTCTGCGGCTGGGCTGGGTTGCCCGCATCACCACAGGGATCTCAAGCGGGCGGGCCTCGTTGGGAACATCCCCACCTTTGAGCTCTCTGAGTTCGATGCTCTCACATACCTGTAAGCGCACACTCATGCTCTCACACAGCTCTTAACACCTGCCCGCCCCTGTCGCCTCCCATTCGTTTCTTCCTTTCTTAACCCCATCGGCACTTGAGCCACGGACAACACTCCCCTCTCGTCCCTCCCACTCCCGCTCCTCGTCCTCCCTTACTTCCACAGCGACCTGGCAGCCAACAACTTCTCTGCATTCAACGGCCAGGCGTTCATAGTGCAGATGACTAAGGAGTCAATTCTAGCATCCTTTGCTTCTTCCCTTCCCTTGTTGCCCTCCCGCTCCCTCTCTCCACCGCGACCTGGCAGCCAACAACTTCTCCGCATTCAACGGCCAGGCGTTCATCGTGCAGATGACTAAGGAGTCAACTCTAGCATCCTTTGCTTCTTCCCTTCCCTTGTTGCCCCCTCGCCCCCTCTCTCCCCAGGGACCTGGCAGCCAACAACTTCTCCGCATTCAACGGCCAGGCGTTCATCGTGCAGATGACTAAGGAGTCAACTCTAGCATCCTTTGCTTCTTCCCTTCCCTTGTTGCCCCCTCGCCCCCTCTCTCCCCAGGGACCTGGCAGCCAACAACTTCTCCGCATTCAACGGCCAGGCGTTCATCGTGCAGATGACCAGCCTGCAGCACCTGTACGTGCCATGCTCCCTCGACCCACCATGCTGTAGTGTATGTATGTGTATAATGTATGAACTGTCTTGGAGAATGCTTCTCCATAAAGCCCCTCCCTGGTGCCTGGGAGGCTTCCCTGTCCTCCCACCTGTCGTTCATTACCAGGTTACATCTCGCCGCGATCACCTTCAGCTCATAACTTCTTTCTCTTCCACGGTCCATCCAGGTCCCTTGCAAAGAACAACATGAAGTGGTTCCCCACGGATGTCGACATGCTCACCAGCCTCACCTTCCTGTGAGTGAACATGCTTCCTCCTTGCACACTCAAAAAGGAGCAAAGGAGACGGCTTAAAGAACAACATGAAGTGGTTCCCCACGGATGTCGACAACATGCTCACCAGCCTCACCTTCCTGTGAGCATACCTCCTGCACACCCACCCAACCCACGGTCCACAGACGTTGACATACTCCTATTATATGCGGCATACCCCACCCAACCCACGGTCCACAGACGTTGACATACTCCTATTATATGCGGCATCCCCCACCCAACCCACGGTCCACAGACGTTGACATACTCCTATTATATGCGGCATACCCCACCCAACCCACGGTCCACAGACATTGACATACTCCTATTAGGACGCGGCACCTGCTTTCATTTTACAAGGATCGTGGCCTCACATCGATCCTGGCATATCGATCGGCACACCGATGTGCCCACACTGCAAATTTGCAGTGGGGTAGACACATCGAGCTATAGGTGCCAGGATCGAAATTGCAGGCTCGGGCAGGTTGGAGCTGCCATTACACTTAAACGTGCAGCCAATCAGGGCAGAGCGTGGATGGTCGTCCAGCAATTCCATTCGCAGCGACTCAAGAATTTTTGGCCTGCGACCGTGGGCGACGCCGATCGATCAAGGCTGTCACCTGTGGCGCGATATGCTCTCCCGCCAACCCTAACGCATGCACCACGGCACATCGATCGTGCGAGCTGCAGGTGCCACCAATTTGGGTACCCGTTTACTGTACATTCTCGACGTTCAGCGAAAGACGGATACCAGGCATTGGCGATGTCGCCAATACACTGTACAAGCGGCACATCGATCCCCTCCCACGATCGATCCTGGCAAAATGAAAACAGGTGCCGCGTCCTTATATGCGGCATACCCCATCCAACCCACCCCTCACTGTGCACACACACAGACTCATCTACCCACCATATATCCCTTTCGGAAGATTTTATTTAGTAAAATTTAGGATCCCATAGCTATCATCCATCTGCTGTCCCTCCTCCCCCTCTTTTCTCCCCAGTAAAGCCTTTGACTAATGACCCACTCCACTTCACCTCTCCCTTCTTCATGCACTGAATGAATCTCCCTCCACAAATGAATCGCTCCTCTCTCTCCACTCCCTCTTCTCCCAAACCGCCATGCCCTGCTCTCTCCTCGGCCTCCTCTCTTTCCACTCCCTCTTCTCCCTCACCACGCACAACAACGATCCGAGCAACTCCAAGTCCGACAATCACGGACAATTTCCAACTGCTGTTCCTTCCTTCCCGTCCCCTTCTCCCCATCATGCCTTTCACTATCTGCCCACTCTCGCCTTCCCACCCCAACGCAACTCTCCACACTCCTCTCCTCTCCCTCCACATTTGCAGCGATCTGAGCAACAACAAGTTTGATGGTCAGATCCCCGACGACATCTTCCAGCTGCGCAACCTCGAAGTGCTGTGAGTCTCTGCTTTCACACTCGCCCTACGCGATGTCCCTCTAGAACTTGCTTCACTCACGCTGCTCTTGAGATGGTCAGATCCCCGACGACATCTTCCAGCTGCGCGACCTCGAAGTGCTGTGAGTCTCTGCTGCTCCCCACAAGGCGCTGCTCCTCACTCAAGTTGCCTCCTCCTAACTGGCATCGTGGCTTCGCATGCTTGCCCGTCCTACGCAGTTGCTCCCGAGCCCTGTCCACGCTGGTTTTGAGGCGCCTCAAAACTAGCCTCCTAACTGGCATCGTGGTTTTTGCATGCTTGCTCGTCCTACGCAGTTGCTCCAGAGCCCTGTCCACCCTGCCTTCCCCCTCCCCTCCTCCCCTATCTTGCTATCCCTCCTTGCTCCTCCCACGCACGCCCTATGTACTCTTTCAAAGGCTCAATCTGCCGGCCGGGGTAAGCTCCTTAAGGAACAATCTGTTCTTAGGGACTGTGCCTTTAAGGACATGAGTCACATGACATGACATCTGCCTTAGGGACGTCTCAAAAGTCCTCCCCCCCTCCGCTCGCCCTATGTGCTCTCTCATCTCAATGGCCCCGCCCTCCTGACACAGATCCGTGGAGAACAATCTGCTCTCATGGAGTGTACCTTTTGAGACGTCTCAAAAGTCCTCCCTCCGTTGCCCTATTTGCTCCCTCCTCCTTGTTCTTTCTCAATGGCCCCACCCGCGTGACGTAGGTCCTTAAAGAACATCTGTTCGCAGGGAAGGGAGTGTGCCTTTTAGAGACGTCTCTAATGGCCTCCCTCCCTCCCCCGCCCTATCCACTCTCTCAATGGCTGGCCCTGCCCTCCTGACACAGATCCTTGGAGAACAATCTGTTCACAGGGAGTGTACCTCGCTCTCTCAGCAACCTTGTGCGCCTCAAAACGCTGTAAGCAAGCACAGTCGTAGCAACTCTCAGTGACCTTGAGACGCTGTGTATATGTGTCTGTCTCGATGACCTGTCTCGTTTTCCCCTTCCATTCCCTTCACCTTTTCCCTCACCTTCCACTCCCTGACTCTGCACTCCCTCCCTGACTGACCCTGGGCATAAACTTGCAGCAATCTAGGGAAGAACAATTTCTATGGCCCGCTTCCCCAGTTCTTTGGTGCCATGCACGACCTCGTCAACCTGTGAGTTGACTCGACACTCACGTCCATGACGTTTGAGTCGGCTCAAAGTCACCCAGTTCTTTGGCACCATGCACAACCTCGTCAACCTGTGAGTTGGAACGAGTAGGAATTTTCTGCTCATGCCTCTGTCACGGAGCATCAGACCGCACCTTAACAGAGAGAGAGAGAGAGTGAGCTATGATGCTACGCTTCAGTGAGTGGGGAGCATTGGAACTCATCATGCCAGCTCTCTGACGTGGTTCTGCATCGTCTGGCATGGCTGATCTTGCTGCATTGCTCGAATGGCATGGCATGGCATGGCATGGCATTGCATGGCATAACATGGCATGTCATGACATAATGGTTTTGTGTGGTTTGGTGTGGTGTGGTGTGGTGTGGTGGCGTGGCGTGGCAGGAAGATGGATCTCAATCGTTTCGAAGGCACCATCCCTGAAACCTATGCCATTCTCCGAAACCTCCGGCGCTTGTACGTTCCCCTTTGGTTTGCCTCTTGTTTTCTCTGATGGTTTTTGAGTCGACTCAAAATCAGACTCAAAGGCACCATCCTTGAAACCTATGCCATTCTCCGGAACCTCCGGCGCTTGTACGTCCCCTGCTTGTACCTACCTACCTATGTCTTGTCTCTTTGTTTATTTTTGAGGCACCTCAAAATAACTTCCGGCGCTTGTACGTCCCCTGCTTGTACCTACCGACCTATGTCTTGTCTCTTTGTTTATTTTTGAGGCGCCTCAAAATAACCTCCGGCGCTTGTACTTCCCCTGCTTGTACCTACCGACCTATGTCTTGTCTCTTTGTTTAATTTTGAGGCGCCTCAAAATAACCTCCGGCGCTTGTACGTGCCCCGCTTGTTTGTACCTACCTATGTCTTGTCTCTTTGTTTTTTGTGCTGTATTTTTCTTGTTTTGAGTCGACTCAAAACGCGGCCTCCGCCGCTTGTACATGCCCAGCGTGTACCTATCCCTTGTCTCTTTGCTGTTTATTGTGCTGCATTTTTCTTGTCTGTTAGTTGGTTTGGTTTGTCTTTTTTTTTGTTTTCTTCTTCTAGACGTTCCTGGAACCATTCGTTTTTCTCGCTTCTCCTCTTCTCTCCCCACCCACTCCCATCAGGGAATCAGGTATCAGGGAAATGACATGAGATTTAACAAGAACCTCACCAACCCTTTGCCTGGCCTTAAAAAGCCCTTCGCCTGCTCATTTCCCCTCCTTCTCTCCCTCACTTTGTCTCTCCATCTCCCCCTCACTTCATCTCTCCCTCTCCCGCCAGGGACCTGAGCTCCAACAAGAACCTCACCGGCCCTATCCCCAGCTTCCTGGGCGAGCTCGGTCTGCCTTCCCCCTCTCCCTTCTTCTCTCTGTCACTTCCACCCCCCCCCCTCTCCCTCCCCCCATCTCTCCCCCTCTCTCTCCCTCGCACCAGGGACCTGAGCTCCAACAAGAACCTCACCGGGCCGTTTCCCGGTCCGAGAAAAGCCCTCGTTTCACACATTCTTCCCCCTCTCTCCCTTTCTCCCTCGCTCCCCTTTCTCTCCTCCCTCCCTCCAGGGACCTGAGCTCCAACAAGAACCTCACCGGCCCTATCCCCAGCTTCCTGGGCGAGCTCGGTCTGCTGCAGTCACTGTGAGTCAACGGAGTCAATGCTGCCTGGCTTTCTGCGGAAGCGGGGTGGGAGGGGGAGGGGGGGAAGTAGGGGGATTTGATTTGAGAGTCTCTGAGTCAATGCTGCACACAATCTGTACGGACGGTGGGATGGGGGGTCTAGTTTTGAGGCGCCTCGAAAGTAGCTGGATTTGATCTGAGAGTCGCTGAGTCAATGATGCCCACGATCTGTATGGAGGGTGGGATGGGGGTGGGTAAGTCACCGCTGCACTCGCTGATTCTATTGAATCAGTTTAGCACATGTCTGCTGGAAAGGGAGGGAGTGGGGAGGAGGAGGGGCAGAGAGCTATTGCAGTCAATGCAGTCAATGGAGTGAAACAGCCGCTGCAAGGGCTCCGTGAGCCATCCCATCCTCTGCCTATTCCTCCCTTCGCTATCCCTCCCTCTGCTGTCCCTCCCTCCATTGTCGCTCCTCTCAGCTCTCTAGACACGACAGTGACGTCTCAGGCGGGCTGCTCAAGTCCCTCTTTCGCGCGTCTCCCTTTCCTCACAGAACTCTTTCTTCAGCACAACCGCTTTTTGAGACGTCTCATAAACACCCTCTTTACCCGAGGCGGGCTGCCCAATCCCCTCTTTCGCCCGTCTCCCCTACCTCTCGGAGCTCTTTCTCCGCCACAACCGCTTCGATGGCTCCATTCCCTCCTTCCCTGCCTTCCACCCTTCCTTCCATTTCCCCTCCCCCTGTCCCGCCCTCCCAAACAGCTCTCTGGACGACTGCGACTTCACCGGTGGGCTCCTCGAGTCCCTCGCTCGCCTCCCCTACCTCACAGAGCTTTTCCTCGAGCACAACCGCTTCGAGGGAACCATTCCCGAGGCGTACGGGCACTTCCCTCGCATCGTGTCGCTCTACCTCAGCAACAACCGCCTCACAGGGGAGATTCCCGAGAGCATGTGCGGGCTGGAAACGGCGGAGCTGCTGGTGCTGGAGAGGAACGAGCTCACTGGGCCCGTGCCGCCGTGCATGATGCAGCTGCAGGGCCTGCTCATTCTGTAAGTGCCTCTCACACATGGGGTGATCGTATCCTTCTCTCTGCCTGAGCAACAACCCCCTCACTGCGTGTATTCACGAGACCATATGTGGGTTGGCTTTTGGGATGTCTCAAAATGCACTTCACCTGAGCAACAACCACCTCACGGGGGAGATTCCTGGGAGCATGTGTGGGCTGGAGACTGCAGAGCTGCTGGTGCTGGAGAGAGAGGAACGAGGTCACTGGGCCCGTGCCCCCGTGGATGCTGCAGCTGCAGGGGCTGCTCATTCTGTAAGTATACTGCACTTCCTGCATTTTGCCTCCCATGCATCGTGCTTAGCGACCGAGGCAGGAATGGTTTTCCTCCCAACCAACCCCCTTTCTCTAAGTCCCTCCTTGTTACTCCCATTCTCCCTCCTCGCCACAGGGGCGTGTCAGAGAACTACCTAACGGGCACACTTCCCAGCGTCCCTCCCAGCAGTTAGTGTGCAAGACACAGGCGGGAATCGTGGTCCCAAACCCCTCTCTCCCATCCCAACCCCTCTCTCCCATCCCAACCCCTCTCTCCCATCCCACCAACCCCTCTCTCCCATCCCAACCCCTCTCTCCCATCCCACCAACCCCTCTCTCCCATCCCAACCCCTCTCTCTCTAACCCTTTTCTCTCTCCCAAACCCCCGTCCTGCCCCACGCCACAGGGACGTGTCAGAGAACTACCTCACGGGCACACTTCCCAGAGTCCCTCCCGGCTCGCCCATGCAGTTTGTGTGAGTGACAGTGTGTATGACACATTCGAGTTTTGCCCGTGTAATGCTTCAAGACGTCTCAAATGTGCTGGTTGGCTGGCTTTTAACGTTTCCCTGTCTGTCTGTGTTGTTGAATCTCAGTCATTGGCGTGCCCCAATGTGCCTGGTGGTAGTGTGTATCCAATCTGTCTCTGTCTGTAAATAGATCCCTTGAATCGAACTTCGTTGTTGCCCACTGCTTCTCTGCCTTAATGACGCTCGCTCCCTCTCCCTTCTGCCCCCATTTCTCATTACCCATCCCGCACTTCTTCCACATCCTGACCCCCACCTCCCTCTGGTGTGCCTCCCTGCAACCCCAACTCTGTCCGTCCGTCCGCCCCTCCCTCCCACCCTCCTTCCTTTTCCTACCCTCCCGCGCCCAGCCACATGAACAACTGCTTTGACAACGTGGCCGACAACTCCCCGTCCTGCCCAGTAGCAGCACCGGGTGGGGGGGAAGCAACGAGTACATCCCCAACCTCCACTCCCTCCCCCCTTCCCTCCCTTGCCCCTTCCCTGCCTCTTTCCCTCCCCCCCTCCCAGCCACATGAACAACTGCTTTGATAACGTGGCCGACAACTCCCCGTCCTGCCCGGTAGCAGCACCGGGTGGGGGGGAGGAGCAGATAGGCGCCCCCCTGGACCAGCAAGGAGGCGCCCCCCCCGACCAGCAAGTCGGAAATCCCCTCACCCAGCAGCCAGGGGGGGATGTTAACCAGCAAGTGGGGGTCCCCATAGACCGGGAAGGAGGCGGGTCTGTGAGCCAGAACGTGGGACTTCCCCAGCAGCGGACTGGGGGTGGGAGCATCGAGCAGCAGGTGCCAGGAGGTGTTCCTGTGCCTGGCGTCAACACCCCGCCCTGCCCTGACAGTGAGTATTATTAGCTTTTTTTTTAATAATGACTTGCTCCTGCATGCCTTGACAGCTTCGCCACTCAAATGTCTTTCTCGCTGCTTCTTCTCCCTTCTTTCCCACGTTCCCAGTGGGCCCACTGGTGGCGCTGCAGGCAGCTCTGCGAATGGACTCCCCAGACGCCCTGCAGACGTGGGACCAGGGGTCGGACCCCTGTGACGGCACGTGGGAGACTGAGGTCATCTGCGACCCTATGACTGGCCACGTCATCCGCCTGTAAGACGTCTTAATAATCTTTTGCAAGCGCTCTCAGATTCTAAAAGGTAAGGCCAATACGCCCTGCAGACATGGGATCAGGAGTCGAACCCCTGTCATGGCACATGCAAGACTGAGGTTGTCCGCGACCCCACGACCGGCCACGTTTGACTTTTGAGTCGACTCAAAAAGTGTCGTGTGCCATTGTAACGAGGTGACTTTGAGTCGACTCAAAAAGTGTCGTGTGCCATTGTAACGAGGTGACTTTTGAGTCGACTCAAAAAGTGTCGTGTGCCATTGTAACGAGGTGACTTTTGAGTCGACTCAAAATTCACCCTGTGATGGCACATGGGAGGCTGAGGTTGTCCGCGACCCCACGATCGGCCACGTTTTCTGCCTGTGAGTCGACTCCAGTGAATCTCTTGCAATTATTCTCTTGAGTTTTCCAAGAAACACACCAACAGTACGCCCAGAAGATACGCCTTGCAGCTGAGCTGGCCCTCTCATCTCATTCCTGCCTTTCACCCTCTCGACAACCCCTCCCCCACACTCTTCTTCCGCCCTCCCTCCACCCCCTCCTCGTTTGCTCTCGTGCTCGTGCAGTGATCTCCGTCGGGCCAACCTGTCAGGAGCCATCCCTGCAGCAGAGCTGGCACAGCTGAACCGACTCACATACCTGTGAGTACAGTGATGATGAGTTGATGCATGTTAGGTGGCACCTGATTCAATCAAACCCTTCCTCAGCAGAGCTGGCACAGGTGAACCGACTCACATACCTGTGAGTTAGGGATGAGCAAAGGGCGAACACGAACATGTTCGTCTTCGCCCCTTGTCGAACACCCTCTTTTGCCGAACCGAGCACTGTTCGGTTCGGCGAACAGTTTAGGAAAAAAACAGGTGTTCGCTGTTCGCCTGTGGAGGCGTGTTCGGGCGAACCTCGAACACGTTCGTGTTCGCCACGGGGCGTTCTGCAGCAGCGCCACGAACACGATCGTGTTCGGGCGAACATCGAACACGTTCGGGCGAACATCAAACACATTCGGGCGAACATCGAACACGTTCGGGCGAACATCAAACATGTTCGGGCGAACGATTTAAGCTGAAAAACAGAACCTGTTGCTCATCCCTACTGTTAGTGATCTGTTGATAGATGTTACTATGGAGACTGAACTGAATCACAGCATTCCTTCCTGCAGCAGCATCTCTAAGTAGTAAGTGTCTAAATCAATTTCTGAGGCTGTGCTTCGATTGTGCCCTAGACGGGCACCCATCCCCTTACTCCATTTCGGTTTTGCCTCATGCGTTTGTCCTGTTTCCCCATGCCACCCCATTCATTCCGCCTGGCTGCAGAGATCTTGGCGGTAACGAGTTCTCGTCCTTCATTCAGCAGGACTTTCTGGAGAGACTCACACGCCTGGAGCACCTGTAAGCGTGATGCTTTGTGGGTGTGATGTGATGCTTAGTGGGTGTGATGTGATGCTTAGTGGGTGTGATGTGATGCTTAGTGGGTGTGATGTGATGCTTAGTGGGTGTGATGTGATGCTTCGTGTGTAAACCACCTTACCAGGTCTTTATGCTGTATCCGTATCGTATCTCAAGTATTTCTAAACCGTGTTGTTCTGACCATGCTCTCATCTGCCCCTTCACCTCTTCTCTTCCTTCCTTCATCTCCTTCCTTTCCCCATCTTTCAGTTCTCTGGCAGACAATCAGCTGCAATGGTTCCCAACCTTCATCAATGCTATCACCAGGCTGATATCGCTGCTCTCCTTCTATTCTACATGTCACCCCCCAACCTGCCCCTCCATTTCCCCCTCTTCCCCGTTCACCTGCTTCTCTCTCCCCTCTTCAGCTCCCTGGCAGAGAATCAGCTGCAGTGGTTCCCAACCTTCATCAATGCTCTCACCAGGCTGACATCGCTGCTCTCCTTCCCCCCTATTCCGGACTTCCCAACCTCCCCTTTCCCCCTCTTCCCCCTTCGCCTCCTCCACTCCTCCCCTCCAGTTCCCTGGCAGACAATCAGCTGCAGTGGTTCCCAACCTTCATCAATGCTCTCACCAGGCTGACTTCGCTGTAAGACCTTTTTCTTTCCTTTCTCTTTCACTTCCTCGAGAAATACTTTTGGGGGGTGCTGATTTCAGCTCTAGGATGTATCCCGAGACTTTCACTTCCGTATCATAGCAAGCAGTGTACACTGCTTGTGTCTCAACTCAACAGTCCTCATCCGTTCCCAGCTATATTGGAGTGACTTTTGAGAATTCTCAAAAGTCAACACAACCCTTCTCCCTCCCTCCTCCTACCTGTTCCCGTCCGTCCCACCCACCCACCGTGCCTCCCTCCATGTTCTCAGGGATCTGAGCACCAACAGATTCACTGGGGATTTCCCCGAAGATGTGCTTGTCATGCCCAACCTGCTGCACCTGTGAGTCGCCCTTGCCTTGCTTGCAATTCAAGTAATCTGTCAGGGAAAAGTTGACCCACGGGCGATTTCCCTGAAGATGTGCTTGTCTTGTCATGCCCAACCTGCTGCACCTGTGAGTCGCCTTCCCGAAATAAAGGGTTCTCAGAGCACAGGTAGCATAGTGCTTTGGTTCCGCAAACAATCTGTGCTTTTGCCAGTGTTGGTTCCGCATCCACTCCACTGATCTTGCTTTTGCCAGTGTTGGTTCTGCATCCACTCCACTGATCTTGCTTTTGCCAGTGTTGGTTCCGCATCCACTCCACTGATCTGCCAACACTGGCAGATCAGTTCAACACTCGGGTCCTGCCATTCATATTCCTGACTTTCTTTTTCCTTTTACATCACATCACATGAGGTGCATCTCTGCCCATTGTGCTTTTGCATTGTCCCTTGTATCTCCCCCCTCTCATACACAGCAAGCTGGAGGAGAATCACTTCTCTGGCAGCGTTCCTGATACCATCACCACCCACCCATGCACCTAACACCCCTTGCTTCTCCATTCCACTACCTCTCCCCCGCCTCTCGTACACAGCAAGCTGGAGGAGAATCACTTCTCTGGCAGCGTTCCTGATGCCATCACTGCCCTCAGCAAGCTCAGATCCATGTCAGTATCATTCATTCGTTAATGGATGCTCACAGTTCGGCTCACGCATGTATGCATGTATGTATGCCATGTCAGTCATTCAGTGGCAGTGCTATTAGTCTGTACAGCCAGCCATGTGCCTGTTACGATGGCTGTCAGTCATCTGACAACTCCATCGATCCATCGATCCCACACGTGAAAGTGCGTGCGTGTCAATCTGCAATCTCTTCCCCTCCCTCCCCCTTCCCTTTTCTGATCCCACCTGCCGCTCGCTCTCATCCTTCCCTGCAGCGCCCTCGCTAACAACTTTACAGGTTTTCTGCCTGAATCCGTTCTTTTTTACGCGCCTCAGAAACAAGCTCAATCCTTCCCCCCTTTCCACCCCCTTCCTTCCTTCCCTGTCGTCTGTCCCGGCAGCACCCTCGCCAACAACAACTTCACGGGCCTTCTGCCTGAGTCGTTTGCACAGCTCACGTCCCTGCAGGCCATGTGAGTGGCAGCTCACGTCCCTGCAGGCCCTTTGAGCGGAGGAGCCCTTTGATTGATGCACCCACAAAGTCCCAATTTTTTGTTTCTCCACCTCGTGGCAGAACGCGACGTGTAGAAAGAAGTGTTTTGAGACGTCTCAAAACTCTTCTTTCTACACGAGCGGAGGAGCCCTTTGATGCATGCACCCACAAAGTCCCAATTTTTTGTTTTTCCACCTCGTGGCGGAACGTGATCACTGCCTGCCGCCTCTCCCCATTCTCAAAACTCGCGTTCATTGTTGTTCTCCATCCTCTTCTCCTCTTTCTTTCCCTTCCCCTTCCCCACCCAGTTTTGAGGCGTCTCAAGGCCCCCACTCCCCACTCTCAAAACTCGCATTAACTGTTCTCCATGCCCTTCTCCTCTTTCTTTCCCTCCCCCTTCCTCCCCCACACCCTCGCCTTCAGCAACCTTGCAGGCAATCAGTTTGCCGGCCCTCTACCTGCGAGCTATGCTGGTCTCACCAACATGGTCTTCTTGTGAGTGCTGGGTGGTCATCTTGTAAGTGCTGGGAGGTGGTCATCTTGTAAGTGCTGGAAGGTGGTCTTCTTGTAAGTGCTGGGAGGTGGTCTTCTTGTGAGTGCTAACAGTGGACTCATGGGCTTATTAGAGCGTGCTAGATGTGTGGATAGTGGTGGTGATAGGCTGGTCAGCTGAGCTAATTTCAAGTGGCAGCACATGCTCTCGAGGGGGAGATTCCATGTCTGCTCGAGTTTACTCAACCCTCTCTTTCCCCTTCTCCCCTCTCCCCTATCCCCTCTCCCCTCCTTCTCCCCTCCCCTCTCCCGCCCATTCTCCTCTGCTTGCAGCAAGGTGGCCACGAACGCTCTCGAGGGGGGCATTCCGGATTGGCTGGGCTCCTGGCCTCGACTCAACCACCTGTGAGTGAGATGGGATAGGATATGCTGCACCATGACTCGTATTACAGGGAATTCTCAATAATACCCTAATATGCTACACCTTTCTGGACTGACAGGGCTAGTGTTAATAGTCGAGTCGAACTGCTTTCTCTTTCCCAACTCCAACCCCCCCGTTCCTTCCCCCCACAACCCCGCTCTCCCTGCACTTGTTCTTTTTCTTATCCACACAAGTCGCTGTTCCACAACAGGTTCACACAGGAATTCCCCCCTCCAACCACTTTTTCCTTTCCAAAACACTCCCCTCCTTCTCCCCTCTCCGTCCGCACAGGTCGCTGTTCCACAACAGGTTCACGGGACCCATCCCCGACTCTCTTGGCAACGCCAAGAACCTCGCTACCCTGTGCGTTTCTCTCTTACTCACTCTCTGAGTTGGCTTTTGAGTCAACTCAAGACTCAATCCGACTCTCTTGGCAACGCCAAGAACCTCGCTACCCTGTGCGTTTCTCTCTTACTCACTCTCTAAGTTGGCTTTTGAGTCGACTCAAGACTCAATCCGACTCTCTTGGCAACGCCAAGAATCTCGCCACCTTGTGCGTTTCTCCGCTCCTCACTCTCTCAGCCTCCGTTTTGAGACGCTTAGCATGCCTCCCATGGCACATACTGCTCCCTCCCACATGCGATGCGCTCTTTCCTTCTCTGTGCTTTCGCGTGCGTGCTCCTCTGTTTCTGTTTCCACCTCTCTTCTCCCTTCGCATCTCTCACTCGACTCGACTCTCCTCCGCTTCGACCCACACTCTCTCACTCAACTCTCTCTCCGCCTCAACGCTTCCCTCTTTCTGCAGGGTGCTGGACGAGAATCGTTTGACCGGGTCCCTGCCGGACACCCTCAGTGCGCTCACCAACCTGGAGGCATTGTACGTACATGGCTCATGCAGGCAGAAACCATGAACACATGCACACACGCACAGATGCAGACATGCACACATACACAGATGCACACATACAGACGTGCACATGCATGAATACGAGTCGACTCGAAATTCACCTCGTTGCTCACCAATCTTTTGAGGCATTCTACGTTAAGTACATGGCTCATGCGCACGTGTGCACCTGCACGCACAGACACACATACGCAGAACCAAGCTCCCCTCACTTGCCACTTGCCGCCAACTCTCTCGCTCGCCACCTTCCCGCTTCCCCACGTCCTGCCTTCGGTCTCTCTGCCGTTGTCCCTTCTCGGCCCCCTTGCTCCTCCTCCCACACCTTTCTCTGTTTCCTCTCCGCCCTCTCCTCTTATTCTTGCTCCTGTAGCTATGCTGTGGGCAATCAACTTGAAGGCACCATTCCGGATTCCTACTCCAGCCTGCAGAAGCTGAGATACATGTGCGTGGGATGATGGGTGGATGTGATGTGATGGATGTGTGCATGTGGAATGATGCATGCAATGCTGTCGGCAATCAGCTATTCCAGAATCGTACTCCAGGCTGCAGAAGCTGCGAGCGATACATGTGCGTGACAAACAGAATGGATGAGATGCAATACATATGGGCGGCGTAACCGACAACAGGATACTTGTGACTTCTCCAATGCTACTTCTTACTCTGTAGTCCCCTTTACCGTACATATGGGCGTGCTGCACTGCAGCAATCTGAGATTCGACACCAAGAATACGGCGAACATGATTATTGGGAGTTCTCACAACTCACTGTTTCCTCCCCTGCATCGTGTTCCTCTGCTCTGTGCTGAGGCGACTTTGAGTCGACTCAAAAGTCTCCCCTGCATCGTGTTCCTCTGCTCTGTGCTGAGGTGACTTTGAGTCGACTCAAAAGTCTCCCCTGCATCGTGTTCCTCTGCTCTGTGCTGAGGTGACTTTGAGTCGACTCAAAAGTCTCCCCTGCATCGTGTTCCTCTGCTCTGTGCTGAGGTGACTTTGAGTCGACTCAAAAGTCTCCCCTGCATCGTGTTCCTCTGCTCTGCATGCACTGCAGCGATCTGAGCTTCAGCACCAAGATCACCGGCCCCCTGCCCGAATTCCTCAGCGGCGACACTCTGTCCCACCTTGCCAATGCCACTCCCACACTCGTTCCTCCAAAGCTTCATCTCATTGTGTCGTCCCCTGCGTGCATCGTGTTCCTCTGCTCTGCACTGCAGCGATCTGAGCTTCAACACCAAGATCACCGGCGCCCTGCCCGAGTTCCTCAGCGGCATTCAGTCTCTCGAGTCAATGTGAGTCAATGGGAGTCAATGGAGTCAACAAGAGTCAATGCTTGTCACCGGGAGTCAACAAGGGTCAATGCGTGTCACTGTGAGTCAACAAGGGTCAATGTATGGCTTCACAGGATACTTCCCAGTGGGCGAATCAACTTGAACATCCCTCCTTGTTGCTCCGATACCTGCTTTTTGGCTGTGCTTTTTGAGGAGTGCGATTTCACGGGGTCCATCCCAGTGGGCTTACGCCAAGCTGTCATTTGAGCTGTTTCAAAGTCCTGTCCTCCTGCCCCCACATCCATACCCCCTTCCTTCCTTCCTTCCTTCCTTCCAGTGCTTTCGAGGAGTGCGATTTCACAGGATCCCTCCCTGTGGGGTATGCCAAGCTACCCTCACTCACAGAGCTTTACCTCGACCGCAACAACCTGGAAGGTTCCATCCCGGGCCTGTACGGCGACATGCCGAACCTGGCCACGCTCTACCTCAGCAGCAACCGGCTGTCGGGGGAGATTCCTGGAAGCTTCTGCCGGCTGGGGAAGGCCAAGACGATTGTGCTGGCACGGAACGAGCTGAGGGGGGGCATTCCGGATTGCATCATCAGCAACCTCAAGGAGCTGCGCCTGCTGTGAGTGGACTTTATTTTCCTGGTATGGGTGAGTGAGGTCTGTCTCTTTGCCTGGTGGCACGGAACGAGCTGAGGGGGAGCATTCCGGATTGCATCATCAGCAACCTCAAGGAGCTGCGCCTGCTGTGAGTGGACTTTATTTTCCTGGTATGGGTGAGTGAGGTCTGTCTCTTTGCCTGGTGGCACGGAACGAGCTGAGGGGGAGCATTCCGGATTGCATCATCAGCAACCTCAAGGAGCTGCGCCTGCTGTGAGTGGACTTTATTTTCCTGGTATGGGTGAGTGAGGTCTGTCTCTTTGCCTGGTGGCACGGAACGAGCTGAGGGGGAGCATTCCGGATTGCATCATCAGCAACCTCAAGGAGCTGCGCCTGCTGTGAGTGCACTTTATTTTCCTGGTATGGGTGAGTGAGGTCTGTCTCTTTGCCTGGTGGCACGGAACGAGCTGAGGGGGGCCATTCCGGATTGCATCATCAGCAACCTCAAGGAGCTGCGCCTGCTGTGAGTGCACTTTGTTTTCCTGGTATGGGTGAGTGAGGTCTGTCTCTTTGCCTGGTGGCACGGAACGAGCTGAGGGGGAGCATTCCGGATTGCATCATCAGCAACCTCAAGGAGCTGCGCCTGCTGTGAGTGGACTTTATTTTCCTGGTATGGGTGAGTGAGGTCTGTCTCTTTGCCTGGTGGCACGGAACGAGCTGAGGGGGAGCATTCCGGATTGCATCATCAGCAACCTCAAGGAGCTGCGCCTGCTGTGAGTGGACTTTATTTTCCTGGTATAGGTGAGTGAGGTCTGTCTCTTTGCCTGGTGGCACGGAACGAGCTGAGGGGGAGCAATCCGGATTGCATCATCAGCAACCTCAAGGAGCTGCGCCTGCTGTGAGTGCACTTTATTTTCCTGGTATGGGTGAGTGAGGTCTGTCTCTTTGCCTGGTGGCACGGAACGAGCTGAGGGGGAGCATTCCGGATCGCATCATCAGCAACCTCAAGGAGCTGCGCCTGCTGTGAGTGGACTTTGCCTGGTGATCCCGTCAACCCCCCCGCCCCTATTGTAATCGTCACTTCCCCGTTTGCCTTAATCTCCAGCTGTCTCTCTCCCCCCTTGGTGCGATGTCTCGGACAGCTATCTCTCCAGCCCTGAGCCTGTAATCCTAGTGGGCACTTGTTCAGTCGAACCCCTCCTCCTCCTCTTCCCCTCCCTGCTCCCCTCTCCCCCCTCCCCTTTCATCTCCCCCTCTCCCACAGCGACGTCTCGGACAACTATCTCACCGGCCCGGTCCCAGCGGGCGGCCCTCTGCAGTGTGTGCCTGTCTTTCCAGCAGGCTCTGTGTCCCTCGTCCCCACCTGGCTCTGTCTTCCCCCCGTCTTCCCCCCGTCTTCCCCCCGTCTTCCCCCTACCTCCGCTTCCCCACACCAAAGCGACGTCTCGGACAACTATCTCACCGACCCTGAGCCTGCTGTCCCAGCGGGCTCGTGTTGAGTGAACCACTTCCTCTTCTGCACCTCCCTGCTCCCCTCGCCTCCCCCCTCCCCCCCCCTCTCCCCACAGCGACGTCTCGGACAACCATCTCACTGGCCCTGTGCCTGCCGTCCCAGCGGGCTCTTGTAGAGTCGACCCCCTAACCCCCCTTTGCCTCTGTCCCCCTTGTCCCTCTCCCCTCCTCCCCTCCTCCCCCCTCTCCACAGGGATGTCTCGGACAACTACCTCACAGGCCCTGTGCCTGCCATTGGGCACTTGTTCAGTCGACCATCTCCTCCTCTGCCCTCCCTGCTCCTCTCTCCCCCGTCCCCTTTCCTTCCCCCCCACCCCACAGGGACGTCTCTGACAACTACCTCACCGGCCCTGTGCCTGCTGTCCCAGCGGGCGGCCCTCTGCAGTTTGAGTAAGCCTTACCCGTGACTGTGTAAGTCACATCTGTAGACTCTGTGATTCCAGCTCATAAGTCTGCCTTGATTAATTGACTCTTGTGAATTCTCAAAAGGCCCTCTGCGGTTTGAGTAAGCTCTCCCATCGTCCGTAGACTGCGTGATTCCAGCTCGTAAGTCTGCCTTGATTGATTGTCCATGGTGCAATCTGGGGTCGAAGCTTCACTTCACCTGTTGAAGGGTTTTACCTCAACATGCCCTGCACCTTTGGCGATTCCCACTCCCTTCCCACTCCCACTTCGCTTCCCTTGCAGCTTTTCAACCAACTGCCTGGCAACATCTGAGGGCGCCCAGCGGAACCCTTGCCCCTCCTCGCCTGTGCCCCCCACCCCACCACACATCCTCCTAATATAACCGCAGTATGCTGCTCTCTCCCCTGCCCCCCCCCCCTACCCCATCAGCTTCTCAAGCAACTGCCTGGCGACATCCGAGGGCGCACAGGGGAACCCCTACCTGCCCCTCCTCGCCCGTGCCCACTATGCACCCTCCTGCTTCCATTCCGCTGCCTCCCATCCTAACCACCCCTCCTCTCCCCATCCTAACCACCCCTCCTGCCTCCCATCCAAACCACCCCTCCTGCCTCCCATCCTAACCACCCATCTCCCAACCTGCCCCCTGTGTCTCCCATGTCCCCCCTGCCCTCAGCTTCTCCAGCAACTGCCTGGCTGGCAACATCAGGGGGCGCGCAGAGGAACCCCTGCCCCTCCTCGCCCGTCGCCACCACACCACCACACAGCCTCCCCTCCTAACAACCCCCTCTCCCAACCTGCCCCCTGTGTCTCCCATGTCCCCCCTGCCCTCAGCTTCTCCAGCAACTGCCTGGAGACATCAGAGGGCACGCAGAGGAACCCCTGCCCCTCCTCGCCCGTCGCCCCCACCCAGCCTCCTCCGGACGAAGCAGCTCCCAGGCAGCCGGGAGGGACAGAGCCCTCTCCTGCCGAGACCACTGTTGACCCCTCCGCCTCCTCCGCCCTGCCCTCGCCTGACAGTGAGTGCCTTCATGCATGCACGATACGATACAAAGCTGGCCATATGCGCTTGTGGGTTGGACTATTTGACTACCTCCGCCGGACAAAGCGGTGACCTCCCAGGTGACCGGGCGCCACAGGGCCCTTGTTTTTTGAGAATTCTCAAAAAACACTGGCCGGGCGCCACAGGGCCCTACGCTGCCGATACCATCATGTGTGGCAATCGCACCCCTTTCTTCCCTTCCATTCCCACCTTCGCCCCGCTGTTATTGAAGAAGTGTTTTGAGACGTCTCAAGACACTTCTTCATACATGCACCCCTTTCTTCCCTTCCGTTCCCACCTTCGCCTCACTGTTGCGCTGATGGAGAAGCTTGCAGGGCTGAGGGCAGGAGCAGGGACAGATGTGCTTCTCTCTCTCATGCTCTCCTCCGCCCCTTCGCCTTTTCTATCCCACCACCCAGCTGTTGCGCTGATGGAAAAGCTGGCAGGGCTGATGGCAGCAGCAGGGACGGACGTGTTGCCTCTTAGCTTCCCTCCCTTTTCTCCCCTCCATTCCCACCTTCGCCCCGCTGTTGCGCTGATGGAGATGCTGGCGGGGCTGAGCTGAGGGCAGCAGCAGGGACGGACGTGCTGCCCCTCTCTCTCCCTGCCTTCCTCTCCTCCTCTTCTCCTCACCATTCCCCTTCCTCACCCTTACTGATCTCCCTTCCTCCCTATCCCACCGCCAGCTGTTGCACTCATGGAGATGCTGGCAGGGCTGCGAGCAGCAGCAGGGACGGACGTGTTGCCCTCGTGGACGCAAGACTCTGACCCCTGTGATGGCTCCTGGGCCACGTCCATCAAGTGTGACAACCGCACGCGTCAAGTCGTGCATCTGTGAGTTACTCACCCCGTGGTATACAGTATACACGTATGTCATGGGGTCACCCCTGTGATGGCTCCTGGGCTACGTCCATCAAGTGTGACAACCGCACCCGCCAAGTCGTGCACCTGTGAGTTACTCACCCCGTGGTATACAGTATACACGTATGTCATGGGGTCACCCCTGTGATGGCTCCTGGGCTACGTCCATCAAGTGTGACAACCGCACCCGCCAAGTCGTGCACCTGTGAGTTACTCACCCCGTGGTATACAGTATACACGTACGTACTGCAGGCGCTCTTGTGATGGCTACTGGGCGACCTCCATCAGGTGCGACAACCGCACGCGTCAAGTTGTGCATCTGTGAGTCACTCACTCCACGCTAACCGTCCTGTAGCGTCACACATATATAGAAATATATGCGATATTGATGTAGCGTGTGTGCACCCCTGTGACGGCTCCTGGGCCACGTTCATCAAGTGTGACAACCGCACGCGCTTACACATTAAGCACCGTGGCAAATCGCGGTTTGGTCCGGTTGGATTCTGGTTTGTTCGATTCAGGTTGGTGGCAAACTGGTTCGAACAGAAGAGCAGAAAGAAGGAACCAGTTTGGTTGGTACTATGCTTCATGTCTGTGTCTCACTCTCTCCTCCCCTCTCTTCTCCCTTTGTTTCCAGTGATCTGCGTCGTGCCGACCTTGTGGGGGACGTTCCTTGCTTCGGTCTCTCCCAGCTGAACGCTCTTACATACCTGTGAGCACTACTGCACCCAACCGCACTGCACCTCAACGCTCTTGCTTACCTTTGAGGACCACCGCGCCCCACTGCACTGTGCCTGAACGCTCTCAACCCTGCTCCTTCGTCTTCTGCCTGCCCGCTGCTCTAAACCCATCTCGGCCCCTCTCAGCCCCTCTCAGCCCCTCTCGCTCTCTCCCTCCCTCTCTGCAGTCCTACCATCGATCTGGGCTCCAGCAATCTCTCCCTCCTTTGCTTCTGCCCTTGGCCTGCCCCGCTCCGTTCTGCCCCACCAGTGACCTTGGCTCCAACAATTTCACCTTCTTCCGTCATGCACCATTATTCCTGCAGAGTTCTGAGACGCTCAGACCCCCCATGCTCTCTCCTCTCCGCCTGTCCCCCCTCCACCTGCCCCACCAGTGACCTGGCCTCCAACAATTTCACCGTCTTCCGCCAGGCACCCTTCTGTCAGCAGAGTTTTGAGATGCTCAGACCACCAACACTAACCTCGGCTCGGACCGGGCCTCTCTTCCCCCGACCCCTCTTCCACCGACCCCTCTTCCCCCGACCCCTTCCCTTCCACCTTCCTCTTCCCCCCCTCTGTTCTGCCCCACCAGTGACCTTGGTTCCAACAATTTCACCTTCTTCCGCCAGGCACCCTTCTGCCAGCAGATGACCAACCTGCAGCATGTGTAAGCCACGATGTGACGTCACATGAGATGTCTTGACTGGCACATGACATGATGTGACATGACATGACATGACGTGACATGACATGCCATGACGTGACATAATCTAGCCCCCGTTTATTTTCCTCATCTGTCCATTTTATTCATGTATTCTCTTGTGCTAATCGTCCTTTTCCTCTTACTCAATATCTCCCTCCCCATATCTTATTTACCTCCATATAAGTCACTTGTTCCCCGTCTCCCATGCTGCCCCTTCAGTTCACTGGCAGAATATCAGCATAAGTACTGGCCTGGCACAGTATTTGCTGCGCCTCAAATATAAACCATGTGTCATTCGTTCCCCTCCCTCCCCGTGCTGCTGTCTCAGTTCTCTGGCAGAGAATCAGCTCAAGTACTGGCCTGAGACTGTTGTTGCTTACTGGCCTCAGCTCACATTCCTGTAAGCCCTGATTCTTGAACGCTCACATTCTTGTAAGCTCACATTCTTGTACGCTCACATTCTTGTACGCTCACATTTTCGTACGCTCACATTCTTGTACGCTCACAATCATGTAAATCACCCTTCAAGTTGCAATTCTGTGAATCATAAGCAAATCGAGATATATTTGCTTACCAATCACAAACACGTACTCAAGCTCTCAAATCGATATTGATTTTCTTTGTGCATTGTGCCTGTTGTTATCTGAAAGCATCTCAAGCTCTCTCGTCTGGTGTGTCCAAGTCGTGTCGCATGTACCTCGTACTGCCACACCCTGCCACGTCTTTGCCTCATCATCCTCACGCCACATGGTGTGTATGTGACTTTGAATGAGCAGGAGCCTGGCGGCCAACCTCCTGGCTGGCCCCATTCCAGAGGACATCGGCGACCAGCTCTCCACCACCCTCGTGCACCTGTGAGTGGGCTATCAGGTCAGGTCTTTTAGAGCAGAGAAGGGAGCATTCAGAGTGCCTTATTCCACTGTCTGTCAGTCCACACTGGTTCCTCCTGTCTCTCCCCATCCTAGAGGACATCGGTGACCAGCTCTCTCCCCACCACCCTCGTGCACCTGTGAGTGGGCTATCAGGTCAGGTCTTTTAGAGAGCTCCTTCTGAGGTTGCAGGGCTCCAAAGCAGAGAAAATGGTGCTCCTCATATGGCGCTCAATGGCTGGCTCTCTCTCTTGCCCCTCTCCCCACCCCTCCATCTTTCTTCTTCCCTTCCTCCCCTTCACCCCCCCTTTTCCCTCCCTGCAGTGATCTCATGGGAAACTATTTCAACGGCACTGTGCCCAGCTCTCTCCCCCCCTCTCCATCTTTCACCCTCCCCGTTCCTTCCTCACCGCAGCGACCTCATGGGCAACTATTTCAATGGCACAGTGCCCAGCTCGATTTCCACCCTGCAGAAGCTCAGATACATGTATGTATGGCTGCTTGGGTGATTCATGGGTTGGTGGGGTGGCATTTGGGTGATGACCCATGGTATCTCACTTTTGTCGTCCTTCCCTCTCTTTCCTCCCTTTCAAATGGTCCCTCCTCCCAATTTCCCTCCCATATACCAAATTGGGTTTCAACTCCAACCTCACATTTCCTGCTCTGTTGTTGAGTCGACTCAAAACACACCTTACTTTCTTTCTCTTGACTGCCGATCCCTGGGACCTCAGGTTTGCCCTTCCTCGTCTCCCAACTCCCCTTCCCCCTTCTCTCTCCTTCCCATGCAGCGATCTGAGCTTCAACTCCAACCTCACGGGCCCAGTCCCAGAAGCGCTTTCTCGCATCGAGTTCACGTTTGAGTCGACTCAAAAGAAAGGACGCCTATATGATACTCCTCTCCTCCTCTCCCTCTCTCCCTCCCACGCAGCGATCTGAGCTTCAACTCCAACCTCACCGGCCCTGTTCCAGAGGCGCTCGCTAAAATCAACACCCTCCGAACCATGTGAGCAAACTGTCTCAACTCAACCCAACAACATGGCCTGGATAGAATCTCCTTGTTGACTTCTGAGTTGACTCAAAAGTCAACCCTCCGAACCATGTAGCAAACTGTCTCAACTCAACCCAACAACATGGCCTGGATGGAATCTCCTTGTCGACTTTTGAGTTGACTCAAAAGTCAACCCTCCGAACCATGTAAGCAAACTGTCTCAACTCAACCATGCGGCCTGGATGGAATCTCCTTGTTTGTCAAAATCAACCATGTGGTCTGGAGTATCTCTGAGGCGCCTAAAAATCGTGGAGTATCTGTAGTCAGTGTGATTCTATTGTGTGCTGAGACACCTTGTACGTAGAGGCCTGCATGGAGAGGCCTGCAGCTTCTCAGGTGCATCTCGGGGCAGGCATTAAAATGGGACCTTCCTGCCACACCTGCCCACACCTGCCCTTCCTGGCCACCTCCCTCCCAACCTCTCTGGTTCCCCTGCTTGCCACTTCTTTCCCCCCCTCTCCTCCTTCCCTCTTCTCCCTCTCTCGCCTCTTATCCCAATGTGTCCCCACTCCAAACCCCAGTAATCTTGAGGGCTGCAGCTTCACAGGGGTGCTCCCGGAAAGCTACTCGCGACTGCCCTTCCTGGCGAGCCTCTATCTCGACAAGAACGGGCTGGATGGCGCCATCCCCGCCTCCTACGGCTACATCCCCAGCCTCGTGAACCTGTATCTCAGCAATAACGACCTGTCCGGGCACATTCCGGAGAGCCTGTGCCGGTTGCAGAAGGCCGAGGCGATCGTGCTAGAGAGGAACTCTATAGGGGGGACTATCCCTGCTTGTCTTGTTACAATGGAAAACCTCCTCATTCTGTGAGTGCCGCGGTTACTGTGCACGTGGTATCATGGTATGGTAACATGTGACTGCTGTTAACCAAAGTGCCTTATATGGTTACGACCTCATTTCACAGAGACCTGATTGGCGAGCAACTACCGCAAGAGGCCCCATACCAAAGGTGGAAGCAGAATCCATCCACACCACATGCACAAGCACGTGTGATGAGTCGGTTTTTTAGTCGACTCAAAAACATACCCAAGGTGGAAGCAGAATCCATTTACACCACATGCACAAGCAAGCACCATACTATGTTTTGAGACGTCTCAAAACACTTCTGTTTACACGTAGCAGAATCCATCCACACCATATGCACAAGCACCATACTATGTTCAAATCGCTTTCGAGAATTCTCAGAAGCAGAATCCATCCACACTACATGCACAAGCAAGCACCATACTATGTTGAAATCGCTTTTGAGAATTCTCAGAAAGAAGCAGAATCCATCCACACCACATGCACAAGCACCATACACTCACTAACCTCCTCCGCCTTCTATTCATCCCTCTCGCCTTCCCCCCTGCCTTACCCACCCACCCCACAGTGATGTGACGGGCAACTACCTCAAGGGGGCGATCCCCAAGGTGGAAGCAGGCTCCATCCTTCAGTTCCTGTGAGCCACTCTGTTTCTAGACCTATAGAGTTCCTCTTGCTGACCTTTGAGTCGACTCAAAAGTCACCTCAAGGGTGCGATCCCCAAGGTGGAAGCAGGCTCCATCCTTCAGTTCCTGTGAGCCACTCACTTGATGTTTTGAGACGTCTCAGAACTTTTGAGAGGTCTCAAAAAGGGCCCCGTGCCCCCACTTCTTGGTCCGTGCCTCCATCCTTCTTTGAAGATCTGAACCCTCCCCCCTCCTCCTCCCCACCTCCCCTCCCCCTCCCCCAAAAGAAAGAAAGGAAAAAAAACCAACCAACCTTAAGCTGTTAGGCCTGTCCACTTGTTTCCCTTCCCCGTTTCCCTTTTCCCTCGTATCCCCTCTCCATCTTTTCAGCTACGCGGGCAACTGCTTGGACGGTCAGGATCGTGGCAACGACCCGTGCCCTATCGAAACGGCAACAGACCCCAATAGCAGGCTGCCACCTGGCAGCCACCAGAACCAGCCGCTGTGGGAGAACACACAGACCCCCGAGGAGAACGCCTGGCCGGGCACTCCGACGTGGGGGGAGGCTCAAGCCGCCGCCGCTGCCGTTCCCGCCCCCTCGGGACCCCCAGGTGGGTGTGGTGTGGTGTGGTGTGGTAGGCAGGTTGTACCTGCAAGCACAGGCACAGGCACACGCAGAGTGGGTTGAAATAAACACACTAAAACTCATCACATGCACAGTCCCGAGAACCAGCCGCTGTGGGAGAACACACAGACCCCCGAGGAGAACGCCTGGCCGGGCACTCCCACGTGGGGGGAGGCTCAAGCCGCCGCTGCTGCCGTTCCCGCCCCCTCGGGACCCCCAGGTGGGTGTGGTGTGGTGTGGTGTGGTAGGCAGGTTGTACCTGCAAGCACAGGCACAGGCACACGCAGAGTGGGTTGAAATAAACACACTAAAACTCATCACATGCACAGTCCCGAGAACCAGCCGCTGTGGGAGAACACACAGACCCCCGAGGAGAACGCCTGGCCGGGCACTCCCACGTGGGGGGAGGCTCAAGCCGCCGCTGCTGCTGTCCCCGCCCCCTCGGTCCTCCAGGTGTGTACTGTGGTGCTTGAACTCTCAGAAGCTGTAGCCACAGGCACAGGCACAGGCACAGGCACAGGCACAGGCACAGGCACAGGCACAGGCACAGGCACAGGCACAGGCACAGGCACAGGCACAGGCACAGGCACAGGCACAGGCACAGGCACAGGCACAGGCACAGGCACAGGCACAGGCACAGGCACAGGCACAGGCACAGGCACAGGCACAGGCACAGGCACAGGCACAGGCACAGGCACAGGCACAGGCACAGGCACAGGCACAGGCACAGTGGGTTGTCCAGGTAAGTGCGTTGTGTGAGTGTGCTACTTGGGTGTCTACTTCTCAGGGATTTTTTTAGAATTCTAAAGAAATCCCCGCAGTGTGCTGCTTGCTTGGGTGTTGAGTTCTTTAGCCTGCCCTGTCCTCCCCCCCCGCCCCCCCCCCCCCCCTTCTCAGTTTCTATTTGGGAGTCACTTTTGAGAATCGGTTTTCCGGCCCTCTGACCTTTCGCACGTGTATGAAGATTTATTTTGAGATTCTCGGAAGTGTAGCCACGTCTCAAAATAAATCTTCATACACGGTGGCTACACTTTTGAGAATCGGTTCACCGGCCCTCTGACCCTTCGCAGCTTCTTGCTGGTGGTGCTGCTCTCAGTGGCACCTGTCTTGTCTTCCTCCTCTGGTCCGGTTTTGAGGCGCCTGGTTTTGAGGCGCCTCAAAACCAGACTTCGCAGCTTCTTCCTGGTGGTGCTGCTCTCAGTGGCACCTGTCTTCCTCCTCTGGTCCGCCTTCCCTTGCTCGCCAAGCGATAAGCCCCCCTCACTCTCTCCCTTTTCGTCCCCTATCCCCCTACCCCTCCCCCCCAAACCTGCAGTGGACTGGAAGCCCATTCTCAGTCTTCTTGGCAGTGCTCTCAGTGGCATTCGTCTTGCCAAGCATAAGACCCCCTCACACCCCCTCCCTCCCCTCCACTAATGCAGTGGACTGGAAGCCCATCCTGAGCTATGTCTTCTTGGCGTTGCTCTCAGTGGTGTTCGTCTTGCCACGCATAAGACCCCCTCACACCCCCTCCCTCCCCTCCACTAATGCAGTGGACTGGAAGCCCATTCTGAGCTACGTCTTCCTGGCGTTGCTCTCAGTGGCGTTCGTCTTCCTCCTCTGCTCCGCCTTCTCAATGCTAGCCAAGCGCCGCCGCTACACCGCGGTTGACTTCTCTGCTCCACGCGTCGACCAGCGTACGCTGCACTGCTTTGGCTGTCTCTCTTTTGCTGGTTTCTTTCTTCTGTACTGTACTGTGCTCTGCATTTTTTTCTTTCCCCTCTCCGCGCGTCGACCTGCGTACGTTTCACTGCTCCTCTTGCTGCTCTGTTTTCCAAGAAAATCCTTTCCAACTCTTCATCTTCTCCTTCCTACCATCTTCCCGCCTCTCTCCTGCTCCTCCCTTTTCTCCCTCACCCCAAAGTCCCAGTGATAGAGCACGGCCTGTCAAAGATCAAGCGGGCCTTCAAGAACTTCACGATTTTTTAGGCACCTCAAGAACGTCCTCATCTCAATCTCCCCGTCCTCTACCCACCCAACAAAGTCCCAGTGATAGAACACGGCCTGTCAAAGATCAAGCGCGCAACCCCTCAACAACCTCCTTGAACTTCATGATTTTTTAGGCCCCTCAACAACCTCCTCATCCCAATCCCCCCCCTCCTCTACCCCACCCAACACAGTCCCAGTGATAGAACACGGCAGGTCAAAGATCAAGCGGGCCTTCAAGATCCCTCCTCCCTCTCTCCCTTGTTTTCCCCACCCTGCCTGCCACTGCTCCCACCCTCCAGTCCCAGTCACGGAGTATGGTCTCTCTAAGATCAAGCGAGCCACCAAGAATTTCACCACCGGTGTTTGGCAAGGGCAGCTTCGGCACCGTGTATCTCGCTGACGACTTGCTGCCCCTCTGTTGCCCCCAACCTGCACCCTCCCCCTTCCCAACACAGTCCCAGTGACCGAATACGGCCTGTCCAAGATCAAGCGCGCCACCGAGAATTTCACCACCGTGTTTGGCAAGGGCAGCTTCGGCACCGTGTATCTCGCTGACGACTTGCTGCCCCTCTGTTGCCCCCAACCTGCACCCTCCCCCTTCCCAACACAGTCCCAGTGACCGAATACGGCCTGTCCAAGATCAAGCGCGCCACCGAGAATTTCACCACCGTGTTTGGCAAGGGCAGCTTCGGCACCGTGTATCTCGCTGACGACTTGCTGCCCCTCTGTTGCCCCCAACCTGCACCCTCCCCCTTCCCAACACAGTCCCAGTGACCGAATACGGCCTGTCCAAGATCAAGCGCGCCACCAAGAATTTCACCACCGTGTTTGGCAAGGGCAGCTTCGGCACCGTGTATCTCGCTGACGACTTGCTGCCCCTCTGTTGCCCCCAACCTGCACCCTCCCCCTTCCCAACACAGTCCCAGTGACCGAATACGGCCTGTCCAAGATCAAGCGCGCCACCGAGAATTTCACCACCGTGTTTGGCAAGGGCAGCTTCGGCACCGTGTATCTCGCTGACGACTTGCTGCCCCTCTGTTGCCCCCAACCTGCACCCTCCCCCTTCCCAACACAGTCCCAGTGACCGAATACGGCCTGTCCAAGATCAAGCGCGCCACCAAGAATTTCACCACCGTGTTTGGCAAGGGCAGCTTCGGCACCGTGTATCTCGCTGACGACTTGCTGCCCCTCTGTTGCCCCCAACCTGCACCCTCCCCCTTCCCAACACAGTCCCAGTGACCGAATACGGCCTGTCCAAGATCAAGCGCGCCACCGAGAATTTCACCACCGTGTTTGGCAAGGGCAGCTTCGGCACCGTGTATCTCGCTGACGACTTGCTGCCCCTCTGTTGCCCCCAACCTGCACCCTCCCCCTTCCCAACACAGTCCCAGTGACCGAATACGGCCTGTCCAAGATCAAGCGCGCCACCAAGAATTTCACCACCGTGTTTGGCAAGGGCAGCTTCGGCACCGTGTATCTCGCTGACGACTTGCTGCCCCTCTGTTGCCCCCAACCTGCACCCTCCCCCTTCCCAACACAGTCCCAGTGACCGAATACGGCCTGTCCAAGATCAAGCGCGCCACCGAGAATTTCACCACCGTGTTTGGCAAGGGCAGCTTCGGCACCGTGTATCTCGCTGACGACTTGCTGCCCCTCTGTTGCCCCCAACCTGCACCCTCCCCCTTCCCAACACAGTCCCAGTGACCGAATACGGCCTGTCCAAGATCAAGCGCGCCACCAAGAATTTCACCACCGTGTTTGGCAAGGGCAGCTTCGGCACCGTGTATCTCGCTGACGACTTGCTGCCCCTCTGTTGCCCCCAACCTGCACCCTCCCCCTTCCCAACACAGTCCCAGTGACCGAATACGGCCTGTCCAAGATCAAGCGCGCCACCGAGAATTTCACCACCGTGTTTGGCAAGGGCAGCTTCGGCACCGTGTATCTCGCTGACGACTTGCTGCCCCTCTGTTGCCCCCAACCTGCACCCTCCCCCTTCCCAACACAGTCCCAGTGACCGAATACGGCCTGTCCAAGATCAAGCGCGCCACCAAGAATTTCACCACCGTGTTTGGCAAGGGCAGCTTCGGCACCGTGTATCTCGCTGACGACTTGCTGCCCCTCTGTTGCCCCCAACCTGCACCCTCCCCCTTCCCAACACAGTCCCAGTGACCGAATACGGCCTGTCCAAGATCAAGCGCGCCACCGAGAATTTCACCACCGTGTTTGGCAAGGGCAGCTTCGGCACCGTGTATCTCGCTGACGACTTGCTGCCCCTCTGTTGCCCCCAACCTGCACCCTCCCCCTTCCCAACACAGTCCCAGTGACCGAATACGGCCTGTCCAAGATCAAGCGCGCCACCAAGAATTTCACCACCGTGTTTGGCAAGGGCAGCTTCGGCACCGTGTATCTCGCTGACGACTTGCTGCCCCTCTGTTGCCCCCAACCTGCACCCTCCCCCTTCCCAACACAGTCCCAGTGACCGAATACGGCCTGTCCAAGATCAAGCGCGCCACCGAGAATTTCACCACCGTGTTTGGCAAGGGCAGCTTCGGCACCGTGTATCTCGCTGACGACTTGCTGCCCCTCTGTTGCCCCCAACCTGCACCCTCCCCCTTCCCAACACAGTCCCAGTGACCGAATACGGCCTGTCCAAGATCAAGCGCGCCACCAAGAATTTCACCACCGTGTTTGGCAAGGGCAGCTTCGGCACCGTGTATCTCGCTGACGACTTGCTGCCCCTCTGTTGCCCCCAACCTGCACCCTCCCCCTTCCCAACACAGTCCCAGTGACCGAATACGGCCTGTCCAAGATCAAGCGCGCCACCGAGAATTTCACCACCGTGTTTGGCAAGGGCAGCTTCGGCACCGTGTATCTCGCTGACGACTTGCTGCCCCTCTGTTGCCCCCAACCTGCACCCTCCCCCTTCCCAACACAGTCCCAGTGACCGAATACGGCCTGTCCAAGATCAAGCGCGCCACCAAGAATTTCACCACCGTGTTTGGCAAGGGCAGCTTCGGCACCGTGTATCTCGCTGACGACTTGCTGCCCCTCTGTTGCCCCCAACCTGCACCCTCCCCCTTCCCAACACAGTCCCAGTGACCGAATACGGCCTGTCCAAGATCAAGCGCGCCACCGAGAATTTCACCACCGTGTTTGGCAAGGGCAGCTTCGGCACCGTGTATCTCGCTGACGACTTGCTGCCCCTCTGTTGCCCCCAACCTGCACCCTCCCCCTTCCCAACACAGTCCCAGTGACCGAATACGGCCTGTCCAAGATCAAGCGCGCCACCAAGAATTTCACCACCGTGTTTGGCAAGGGCAGCTTCGGCACCGTGTATCTCGCTGACGACTTGCTGCCCCTCTGTTGCCCCCAACCTGCACCCTCCCCCTTCCCAACACAGTCCCAGTGACCGAATACGGCCTGTCCAAGATCAAGCGCGCCACCAAGAATTTCACCACCGTGTTTGGCAAGGGCAGCTTCGGCACCGTGTATCTCGCTGACGACTTCCTTCCCGATCAGATCGAGCCGCGTGCGATCGTGAAGCGCGCCCACGAGCCCGAGAGTGAGTGGCATGGGATGGGGGAAGGGGGCGCAGGTGGGGAATGCATGTGCTCATTCAGTCCAGTTGTCATGCATGGGATGGGGGAAGGGGGTGCCGTGTGTGTGAGGTGACTAGTGGGTTGGTGACGACTAGGCACCGTGTATCTCGCTGACGACTTTCTGCCTGACCAGATCGATCAGCGCGCCATCGTCAAGCGCGCCCACGAGCTCGAGAGTGAGTGGCATGGGTGGGGTGGGGATACTGGGCACGGGTGGGTGATGGTGTGTATGCCAAGGGCAGCTTCGGCCTCGTGTATTATGCCGACGACTTCCTGCCCGATCAGATCGAGGCCCGCCCCATCGTGAAGCGCGCCCACAAGCCCGAGAGTGAGTGGTAGCTGTATGTTGTGGCGTATGGCATGGGGTATAGGATTAAATATGGGATGAGATATGCTTGTGTCCTTTTTTCTAGGTTTCCAACTCCTCTCCCCAAATCGATTTTTGAGACGTCTCGAAAATCGACTCTACTCCCTAAATCATGTGCCACATTCGTCCCCACCAGAGATGACGTAGACCCAGTTCCGGGAGAAGGTGCAGCTGCTGGCCAAGGCGCGCCACCACTACCAGGGGTTTATTCCTTGGCCATCGCCTTACTCCCATCCCCGCCCACCACTCCTGCCCACTTCAGAAATGACGGAAGCCCAGTTCCGGGAGAAGGTGCAGCTGCTGGCCAAGGCGCGCCACCGCTACCTGGTGTCGCTGCCGGGGTACTGCTGTGATTCCCAACCTCACCTCTCCCTTACACTTGTGCCATGCCTGTTCCATCCCCCAACCATCTTCACCAGAGATGACGGAGGCCCAGTTCCGGGAGAAGGTGCAGCTGCTGGCCAAGGCGCGCCACCGCTACCTCGTGTCGCTGCGCGGGTACTGCATCGGCAAGGCGGAGCGCATCCTCGTGTTTGAGTTCCTGCCGCACGGCTCCCTGTTCGACCGCCTGCACCGTGAGTGTTATTTTCATGCTTTGATATCCCAGTACACTCCAGTATGCTCCACTAGAATGGGGTGCACTGCACGGTCAGCTTGAAAAAGGTACTGCATCGGCAAGGCGGAGCGCATTCTGGTGTTTGAGTTCCTGCCGCACGGCTCATTGTTCAACCGGCTTCACCGTGAGTGGTGGTTGGTGTGAGTTGTAGTGGGGACTAGGCTAGGGCGTCAGGTGTTGGTTGGTGCCCCCTCAGGGGTACTGCATCGGCAAGGCGGAGCGCATTCTGGCGTTTGAGTTCCTGCCGCACGGCTCATTGTTCAACCGCCTGCACCGTGAGTGGTTTACTTGCTCGGCACAATGCTAGTTGTGTACAGGGTGTGTGCTGTAGCCTGCACCCTGCACACAGTCAGCTTGAGGGGGTGCTGCATCGGCAAGGCGGAGCGCATTCTTGTCTTCGGAGCGCATCCTCTGCCTCACGGGTCCCTCTTCGACCGCCTGCACCGTAAGCGACTTATGATTGATTTGTCCACCAGAGGATTTCCGGACTCGAAAGCTTCTGTCCACACTTGATTTCCTCTGTTTCTCTCATATTTGATTTCCGCTTGGCCCCATCCCTCCTTCCCACCAGTCTCCGACGCCCTGGGATCCTCTGCCCTGGGATGCTCGAGTGCACATGGCAGTCAACCTGGCCTCAGCCTTTGTTACCACACATACGCACTATCGCTCTCCTCTCATCTTCTCTAACATTATCCTGACCATTCTCCCTCCCACCAGGCTCCGACGTGGATCCTCTGCCGTGGGACGCGCGAGTGCACGTGGCAGTCAACCTGGCCTCCGCCCTGGCGTTCCTCCATCATGGCTGCGACCCACCCCTCGTGCACCGCGCGGTCACCTCATCCAACATCCTCCTGTCAGCTGATATGAGCGCCAAGGTCTGATCCCTTTACGTCAAAATATGACTCTCTTCTCTATTTGTTCCGCCTTGGCATTCCTCCACCATGGCTGCGACCCACCTCTGGTGCACCGTGCCGTCACTTCGTCCAACATCCTCCTGTCAGCGGACATGAGCGCCAAGGTCCGTTCCCTTTACTTTAAAATATGACTCTCGTCTCTGTTCGTTCCGCCTTGGCCTTCCTCCACAACGGCTGCAACCCCCCGCTTGTGCACCGTGCCGCGCCGTCACTTCATCCAACATCCTCCTGTCAGCGGACATGAGCGCTAAGGTGCGTCCTACATGCCATTTTTCACACCAAGGTGCTGGGTCGTTCGTTCATCCTTGGCGTTCCTCCACCACGCCTGCGTTCCGCCTCTCGTGCACCGTGCTGTCATCTCATCCAACTAGAAAACTCTTGTTGAAATCGCTTTTGAGAATTCTCAAATCTCAAAAGCGATTTCAACATTTCCTCTCGTTCACCATGCTGTCATCTCATCCAACTAGAAACTCTTCTGCCCCCTTCCCTTCCCTCCTCCTCAGCTCTCTGATTTCGGTCTTGCACGAGGCTCCACCTCCCACGCTGCGTTCGACGAGCCGCCCCGCCGCCGCCCCAACCGCCGGCAGCGCGGAGCAGCAGCAGCGGGCCGAGACGACGCCTCGGCCAGCAGCAGCCTCACTGCTGTTGGCAGCAGCGGCGACGGCAGCAGCGAGACAGAATCCGAGCTTCTACAGCCGGTGGTTACGCGCACGGACGCGCGAAAACTGGATATCTATGGGTTCGGAGTGGTTCTGCTGGAGCTGATCACAGGGCAGAAGGCCATGAAGGATGTGCATATCACGAGTCTTGCCGCCCCTTTCCTGGAAGATACCCAGATGATGCCGCTGATGGTTGACTCGGCTCTGGGCGGGTTTTTCAACCAATCGGAGTTGATCGAGCTGGCGACGATCGCGAGGGATTGTGTGAAGGAGGATCCAAACAGCCGCCCGACGATGCTCGAGGTGGTGAGGACGATGGAGGGGAGTATCGAGTTGGCCGTTGACTTGTTTGACCCACTTGACTCGGCGGATTCGGGTGCTGGTAGTGCTAAGGCTGGGACCCCGAAAACTGGTGGGGCGGGGTATGCGGCGCTGAGTGGTGGGTCGGGGATTGCCGGGGATGCGATGGGAAGTGGAGGGGTTGGGAGCGGCTCGGGGGGGAGTGGGAGGCAGGGCACTGGGGGCGGGACGTGGGCGCCTTTAGAGTTGTTTTCAGGGTCGTTTGGGAGGCGGTCGGGGCGTGAGAGGGAGGGGGGAGGAGGGAGGGGAGCAGGAGGGGCGGGAGGGGTGGAGAGGGGGGATGTAGAGGCAGGGTCGTCGCTGCTTTATATCACTCCCAAGGATGGGCAGCACTAGGGTGAGCAGGTGCTAAGGAAGGGAGACACAAGTGCTCTATATCACTCCCAAGGATGGGCAGCACTAGCCGGGGAGCTGTGGGGGCGGGACTTGGGCACCTCTGGAGTTGTTTACCGGGTCGTTTGGAGAGCGGTCGGGGCGTGAGAGGGAGGGGGGAGGTGGGGGAGGAGGCAGGAGAGCATGAGGGGCGGGACAGGGAGGGGTGGAGAGGGGAGACGTCGAGGCAGGGTCGTCGCTGCTCTATATCACTTCCAAGGATGGGCAGCAGTAGTATGGGGAAGTGGAGGGGCCAGGGAAAGGGCAGCATTTTGTGAAAGGGGGAGAGGTTAGGAAACAAGGAACGTTGGATTGACACAGGCAGGGACGGAGAGGGGGGATTGTGGTAGGAGTGCCTGGTGACATACTGGAAAGATTCCCGTGTTCAGTTCAGTGTAACTTGAGCAGGAAGCCTCTGAGGCGTCTCAAAAGACAGAGGGGGGACTGTGGTAGGCGTGTCTGGTGGCATACTAGAGAGGTTCTGGTGTTCAGTTCTGTGTAACTTGAGCAGGAAGCCTCTGCCAAATCTTTGAAGGTTTGACATCGCTGCTTTGCTACACTATTTATTCGCTGTAGAGTCAATCCGTTATAGGATCATTGTTTGTCACTGCATTACAGTATATGATGCAGTATGCTGAGACCTGAAGGGAGTGTTACAGAAAGCACATGTGGGGAGGGAGTATGGGGGACATGGAGGAGAGCCATGTCCCTGTGTTCAATGATATTGTGAACTCATGCTTGATCTGTGATGTTACTATTGTACCATATATTTTAGTTACCTGATTATGTTACAATCCATGTATTTTTGTTATGTAGAAGACAAACATGCTAAACATCTTCCCAACCCTAACCCCAACAATGTAAACTAAGAATAAGCCACCACCTAGAGAGGTTGTCAAATTGACCGTAAATCAACCTTCTTTATATAGCCTCGTAGTACTCCACGGCGAGTGATCCAATATCGAGGATAATGGACGGCAGGAAGAAGAAGAAACCAATGTGTGCCATGGCAGTCGCGGCCTTGGACCTCCCACAGAAGAAATTCCAGGGGGTGTTACCCTCGCAAATGGTTTGCTGGTAAGGGAAACCACCCTGGTCATTGAAGGTAGTTACCCCTGCTGCTGCTGCTCCTGCTGACAGCAGTAGTGCTGCTGCAATCTGTGTGATGCGAAAAATAGAATAGGCAACCAAGGAGGGGAAGCAAGATATGTGACGACTTTTGAGGCACCTCAAAAGCGCTGACAGCAATAGTGCTGCTGCAATCTGTGTGATGCAGGGACATGCATGGTAAAGTGGTAACATGCATGGACATGCATGGAGAGTAAGCAATGTAGGTATTTTTTCAGGCGCCTCAAAAATCGTCTGTGTGATGCAGGGACATGCATGGAGAGGAAGCAATGTAGGTAGGCGAACACAAAAGGCAGGTAGACCCCTGCTGCTGCTGCACCTGCTGACAGCAGTAGTGCTGCTGCAACATGTGTGATGCAGGGACACGCGAGGGGAAGCAAGGTAGGTGGGCAAGGAAAATGGAGAGCAGGATTGTTGAATAGAAACAAAACAGTGAAGAGAGAAACGGCTAATCAAGAGGCAGTTGAGAAGATGGTTTGAAGTGGCAGAAGAGCCACAGCAGCAAGAGCAGCAGGAAGAAGATTAGGAGTTCCAAACGCAGCTGTAGAGCCCCGTATCCTCATTATAAGCATCCCATTAAGTCCTGTGATGGAACTTTCAAAGTCTCCAATGATCTTGAGGATCTTGAGAATGGCCGAGTGGGATGTCATACCAGCAGCCAGCAGCCCAAACTCGATGAGAAGTAGCAAAGACCATCCTCGTTATAACCATCCTCGTTAGTACCATCCTCGCTAGACAACAGATTTAACTTACAAAGTCTTCAATGATCGTCAGGATTTTGAAAATGGCTGAGTAGGACGTCATGCCAGGAACCAGAAGCCCAAGATCGATCAGAAGCAGCAGCAGAGACCAAAATCCTTGTTACAAGCGTCCCCATGCGCAAAAAGGACAAAACGACTTACAAAGTCTCCGATGATCCTTAGGATCTTGAAGATGGCTGAGTGGGACGTCATGCCAGCAGCCAGCAGCCCAAGATCGATGAGAAGAAGCAGCAGAGCCCAGAATCCAGCGATGACGCTGGCAGCAATGAGGTAGCGGAAGGCGTGGAAGGAGGAGTAGCTTATGCCTGCAACCTTGGCTGTCAGCATCACTGCCAGCGCACACACCGCTGCGAACAGCTGGAGGAAAGGGAGAGGGCAGGGAGGGACGGAAAAGGAAATAGGGAGGTTGGGGCGGAAGGGGTGTATCAGTCAGGAGCACCATCACCACCACCACCACCACCACCACCACCAGCAGCAGCAGCAGCAGCAGCAGCAGCAGCAGCGCCCAGAATCCAGCGATGACGCTGGCAGCAATGAGGTAGCCGAAGGCGTGGAATGACGAGTAGCTTATCCCGGCGACCTTGGCTGTCAGCATCACTGCCAGCGCACACACCGCTGCGAACAGCTGGGGGTGTGGAAGGGGAGGGGGAGGGGAAGAGGGGGAAGGTTGGTAGGGAGAGGGTGGACGTTGGGGTTGGGTGAGGTTGTGTGAACACCGTCTATCTTGGCTGTCGGCATCACTGCCAGCGCACTCACGCGAACAGCTGGGTACAAACAGCAAGGTAGGGGTGGGAGGGAGAGGGAAAAAGGGAGGCTGAGACAGGGTTGTACCACCACCATCACCATCACCATCACCATCACCATTTACAGCACCAGCAGCAGCAGCAGCAGAGGCCTGCTTTAGCAGATACCATGCTCTTGCTAAGGAGATTACCTGCAGGAGTCGCAGCAGCGGGCTGACCCAGTGGTGGAAGGAGCGAGGGCTCTTTGCAAACATCTTCCGCTTGCCATCCTTCCCCGCTCCTTCCCCTCGTGTCCTCGTGACTTATTTTACTACCAGTGGTATAACAGCCAAAACCGGGCAGATCCGGGCAGAACCGGCCACGATCGGTCACAACCGGGAAGAACTGGGCATAACTGGGTAGACATCGTAGTGGTAACGGGATTACCTGCAGGAGTCGCAGGAGCGGGCTGAGCCAGTGGTGGAAGGAGCGAGGGCTCTTGTAAAGCATGAGCACAAGAGCACATGAAACAGAGGCGCCTCAAACACGGCTATCATCCATGCCAGGGTCCAAACCCAAGGTAAAGAGATAACCTGCAGGAGTCGCAGCAGCGGGCTGACCCAGTGGTGGAAGGAGCGAGGGCTCTTTGCAAACATCTTCCGCTTGCCATCCTTCCCCGCGCCCCCCCCTCCTCCTGCTCCAGGCAGCATGGCAGCTAAGCAAAGCTTCGGCAAGCACAATTACTGAACTATGAAAGGCGATGAATGGAACCTGACACAGCCAGATAAGACTCTGGCAGAACCGGACCGAACCTGGCAGAACCGAGCGCTCTAATTGACGATTTTGCTCTCAAAGTCACGGGCCTGGTTAATGTGCCACACAGCTAGCACCACAGCTCCCTATACCAGCCTAATCTTCTACTGGCGTGAAGCGGAAATGAAACACTGGAGAGAGGACGAGGAGCATAAATGCGTTTCCGCGCTACCACATTCGTTGCTGCCGTCTCTCCGTTCATATAAGTCGCCACATTGTGCCCCTCCCTGTGTACAGGCCACAGGCACACCCCTCCTTTTTTGAGACGTCTCAAAACGCATTGCCCCTCCCCGTGGGCGGGCACATCACTCCTGCTGCTACTGCTGCAGCTGCGGCTGTGGCGCCACGAGCGCGTGGGGATAGATGGCGGAAGGAATCCATCTATGCGCGAATCACACTTTACGCTCGGCGCAGCAGCCGCCGCAGCAGCAGCAGCCGCAGCGGCAGCAGCACGTTGAGTGAGCTGGTAGCGCTGGTAGCGTCGTGGAGTGGTATAGAATTGGGGGCGGAGCAGGCGTGCGGCGCAGCCGAAAGTAACATCTCGTTTCCCCGCGCCCGCAACTTGCTTCGTGCGGTTCGCCCGACTCCCCCGTTCGCCTCTCTCGCCCCTCGTCGCTCATTCCCTCACTTCCCCCGCCACTCGCCTGACCCTGATTGTTACTGTACTCCCCTCGTTCCCCCCACGCTCGCTTCCCCCTCGAGGCGGAAAGTGACGAAAATTGAATAGCAAGCTGGCGAGTGTCGCGAATGGAGTCGCACATAGGACATGCAACGAGGCGCGGTCTGGTTTGATGTTGAGCCATCTAGGCGCGCTTCGGCGATGCCCAGCTGGGAAGGGGCTCGGCTTTTCGACCTGCAGATGACGTGGCGATGCGAGTGGCTCAGATTGACCTGTCGCCAGCTGCTGATTGCATAGATTCTCTCGAAAGTGGGGCAAGAGCAAGCAATTGTCAGACTAGATAGTGGGTCCCCTAAAGAGCACCATCTGGAAGGAGAGAAGAATAAAAGAATAAAATTTCATCTTTGAATAGCATTCTAATTATGTCATTTTTAGTGACTTGAGCAAATTTCGGGGATATTCGTGGCGAGTACAATTCGAACACCTTTTTTGCACGGCAAACAATTTTCATCCAAACAGCCTCTGTCGTGACTTCCCAAGCCTTGTCTTCTCGTCCTTCGCCACGCCGTTTCCTGTGTGCCACTCGATCAAAGCGTACTCCCCATCACCTAGTCTCGCATTCAAGCGAGCAGAGTCATTTTGTTCGCATTACGATATAATTCACCGTTGCGGCCCAACCCGCGGCCAGATTCAGTGAATCTGTCGCCATCATGCCGTCCATGCCCCGGCTCGGCATGTTCTGGGCGGCAGCGATCGGAGTGGGGGTCGTCACCTGCGCCGTCGTCTTCGTCCGTCAAAAGAGCCCGACGTTTTTCGTCAACCTGACGGCGGACGGCACGCCAGGGAGGGTTTTCAGTCGCGGCCCGTTCCGAGTGGTGGAGGACAGCGTGCGACCTCGGGACTGCTCTTTCGCCCAGGTATGAATATAGGATTTATGTGCATGGACGTTTCTGTCATGCAATATGGATTCCACGTGTAGAAAGAACATCTTTGAGACGTCTCAAAATGTTCTTTCCGCACATGAATATAGGATTTATGTGCATGGACTTTTCTGTCATGCAAAATGGATTTACATGGCTCGTGTTGAGTATGGATAGCCTATTTAGTCGCTGGGTATGGATACTAACAAGTACTGGATTTCAATCCGCTCGTTCTTCCTGAAAACGTCTCGTCCCAGTCCCATCTCATCCCATGCCGGCCCCATCCCCGTTCCGTTCCCATCCCGTCCAATCAGGAGCCACTACCCAAGCCTGTCCGTGTCTGGCTCCCAGTCCTAGATCTTCCCAGCAAGGAGTTATCTGATTCTTCCCTAGCTGCCACTGTTGCTGTTTCTGCTGCTGACGCTGAAGCTGAAGCAGCTCCCGGCGATTCACCTAATGAGAAGCTCGAAAACACCTGGCAGCAACAGAGGAGCACCTGGCAGGTGCCAGTGGTGGTGTTTCAGCACGGGTTCGCATCTCAGAACTATTTTTACTCCGACCTGCTCTCGAGAATAGCCTCGCATGGCTACATTGTGGTGGCACCACAGGTAACACCTTCCCCAGGTATCCCTGCCTTACAGCTTCTACTCCGACCTGCTCTCGAGAGTCGCCTAGCCTCCCATGGCCACATCGCCATTGCCCCACAGGTAATACCTTCCTCAGTTAGCACCTGCTCTTTGGTAACACCTGCCTCACATAGGATGAGACCTACTTCTACTCCGACCTTCTCTCAAGAATCGCCTCGCATGGCTACATCGTTCTGAAACCTCAGGTATTACCATCTCCAGGTAGCACCTGCCACTCAGCCTCTCAGGTAATACCTGCCTCCCATGAGACAAAACTCTTAACTCTCCTGACCTGCTCTCGTGATCTGCCACTCAGGGCTACATCGTCGTGGCTCCTCAGATGTCGCCTTCCTTACATAAGACTAACCATCATTGCTATTGGTACAGTACTGGTAATGCCTGTTACACCTGCGTATTTCCCACCTTTTCCCCTCTCCCCTTTATCTCCCTTTCCCAAACCCCACCTTCCCACCCCCTCAGATGTACTCAATATTAGCTGGATTCGACACAATGCCAGAGATGCGGGATGCTGTGAAAGTCATCAACTGGTTACACGCCAATCTGCACACTCTAATCGATGCACGAGTTAAGCCTGCTGCCTTGGCTGCTATACGGGCAGCTGGAAAGGAAGCAGGCAGAGAACAGGCAGCAGGAGAAGAGACAGTGGTGGTGTCGCAGCCTGATTGGTCAAGGCTAGTGCTAGCAGGCCATAGCCGGGGAGGGAAGGTGACGTTTGGAATTTTGCGAAAGCTGGTGGGGGAGTTAGTTAAGTCTACAAAGCAGCAGCAGTCTACAACGCAGCAGCGTGGGTTCATAGAGGCACAGTTAGCGGTGCCTATTAAAGCCGCAATACTCTTTGACCCTGTGGATGGAACTGCTTCTAAAGCCACCAATCCCCCCACACTCACTCATCAACCGGACTCTATCTCTCTGCTCAACAACCCTCCTGTACTCGTTATAGGCTCAGGCCTGGGTCCCATTCCCAGAGGCGGCAAATCCCCTTCCGATCAAGGTAACCCATGCGCGCCAGAGAATTTCGGGCACAAGGTTTTTTTCTCGGACCTGGTCGGCCCAGCGTACCATTTTTCGGTGCCCGAATTCGGCCACGCTGACTTTTACGATGATGATTTGGGGCCGATTTACGGACCGTTGTTTAGCAAAGTGTGCAATAACGGGCCTGCTAGGGAGCCGATGCGGGTAGCGGCTGGAGGGCTATCAGTGGCGTTTTTAAAGGCTGTGGTTGGGGATGGTGGGGATGGTGAGAAGGGAGGGACTGTAAGGGGAGTGAGGGGCGAGAGGAGTGGGATGGAGGTGGAGAGAAGGGATAGTGGCGGTGTGGGAGGGGGAACAAAGAGCTTAGAGAAGAGGCAGGCTTTGGAGAGATTAGTGACTGATGCTGCAGCTGATGTGGCTGACGTGGCAACTGCCGTTAATGTTGCAGCTGACGTGGCAACTGCTGGTGCCGCACACAGTGATCAGGAGCAAGGCACGGAGCAGATGCATCAGCAGGAGCAGCAGGAGGAGGTGGAGAAGGAGAGGCAAAGGCTTGAGGGGGAGTACCTGAGGAGTGGGGGTAGTGGAGGGGCGTGTGGGGGTGATACGGAAGGAAGCATTGCGGGTGGCTCAGCTGTGGGAAACAGGGAGGGAGGCTGTGGTGCTGTGATTGGTTCAGGGAAGGGGAGTGATGTGAGGGATCTTTGTGATCTATTGCAACACCCTGAGCATTCTCCTGTGGTTTTGTCAGAGGTGGGGTGGAAAGTGGGGCGGCAGCAGGAAACACCTGAAGAAACACCTGTAGGAGCACCTGCCAATTTATGTGGAGCAGCACCAGCTACAGTTGCAGCTGCTGCTGCCCGCTAGTGGCTTCCTCTGCATCTGCTGTAGATGTCTAGCTGGCCGTGTCTGTCTAGCTGGCCGTGGCTGTCCTTGTCTCGTAGTAGTCATTGTAGAGTACATCCTTAAGATCGTAAGTTTGTTTGAACATTGTACAGCTGAAAATAAGGGTTTTTTTTTTTTTTTAAGCCATGCATCAAGCCCCTTTAGACTGAGGTGTAGCAAGTCTCACCGGTGAGTTAACAGGATTACTCATTACATCATCCAAATCCGCCGAGTCCCCCTGTAACCTAGCTTTTAGAAAGGCAACAGCAATTCCGGATGCAGCGACATGCATCGGCCGTTTTGCCGGGCCTTTTTTGCAAGCCACCTCACTCATTGCCCCGTAAATCCCGATGTTTTTATCGTAAAAATCCAAGTGCCCATACCTGGGCACTACGACATAATACGCAGGTCCTGCTAAGTCTGAAAAAAATGTGTTGTGCCCAAAATATTTGGGCGGGCAAGCGGGCAGCCCGGGACCTTTTGGGATCGGACCGAGGCCCGAGCCTACAATCAGAACTGGGGCAGAAACGACAAGGGAGTTGGGCCTGTGCACGAGAACGGGCGGCACGTTTTTGGAGGTATTTGAGGTGCCGTCCGAAGGGTCAAATAGGAGGAGGGCAGCGATGACGACAGGGGAGGAGGGAGAGACGATGTTACGTGTTACACCAAATGCCACCTTGGCACCCACACTGTGCCCTGATAGGACAAATTTGGACCAATCAGGGACAGTGTTTTTGAAAGGGTGGGTGGCAGTGGGGGAGGCGTTATTGGGTGATGATGATGGGGAAGATGAAAGATTGAAGGGAGGAGGGGAGGAGGAAGAAGACGACGAGGGGGGTGATGAGGGTGAGGAGGAGAACGAGGAGTGTGGGGAGGAGCTTGGTTGAAGTTGCTGCGTTGTTTCAGACAGGGGTCGTTTCTGCTTCTTCTGTTGCAGCCATGTTTCAAGGTTCGCCCTTACCCATGTGATCACGCGTACACTGCCTCTCATCTCCGGCCTTGTGTTGGATTTGCCTATAAAGGGGTACATCTGCGCACAGGCAAAACATGCGACAGGAATGGACCAGTGAGAGGAGTGTGTTTTAGGCATCTCAAACAAAGAAAAAACATTTCTTTGGGATGTAGAGATGCAGGGAAGGACTGGACGGCAACAATATTTGGGGAGGCACAGCAGTGAGCAATTATGATTGTGAGAGAAGCTGGTTTTGAGTCGACTCATAAGGAAGCACAGCAGTGAGCAATTATGATCGTGAGAGGAGCTGGCCAAGAGAATGCCTCTGTGTGTGTGTCTATCATAAGATCCTCGAGAATGACTTTTGAGTCGACTCAAAAGTCATCAAATCATGATTGTGAGAGAAGCTGGCCAAGAGAAAGCGTGTGTGCGCGTGTGTGTGTCTATAGATCTTCGAGAATACCTGGGGGGCCACGACAATGAAGCCATGAGATGCAATGCGTGAGAGCAGCTGAGAGTAGAAGTGCGTTTTAGCAGCAAAGCCGGTGAAGCCGTGTTGAAATAGTGTTTGCAGCATGTTGCAGGAATGCACACACACACGCACACCCTCATCCCCTCACACCACACACACACCCTCATCCCCTCACACCACACACACACCCTCATCCCCTCACACCACACACACACCCTCATCCCCTCACACCACACACACAACCTCAGCTTTCCACAAACACACTCACCTGAGGAGCCACGACAATGAAGCCATGCGACGCGATGCGCGAGAGCAGCTGCGAGTAGAAGTGCGTTTTAGCTGCGAAGCCGTGTTGGAAAACCAGCACTGGCGTGGAGAGCTGCGATGAGGAGACTGGCACCCACAGGCGCAAGGGCTTTGGAGGGGCGAACTGGAGAGGACAGGGGGAGAGGAGGAAGAGGGGAATGAGAGAAGAGAGAAAGAGGAGGGAGAGTGGTGGGAGAGAGGAGGAGAGTCGGAAGTAGTGCAGAGAGCGAGAGAGAGAGAGAGAGGGGGGGGGGAAGAAGGTGCAGTGGAGAGTTTAACCTTAAAGGGGAAGGGGACAGGGAAACACCCAACATGGGAAGACACAACAGGGGTCCACAGGACAAGGGAACCACTTTGGCGAAGCGCGAAGACCAGCACAAACGGGACACATCAGCACATCCGGACCTTGGAGTTGCCGAAAGGGACTTTGAGTTAAGTGGCATTTGAGTCGACTCAAACGACATATCAACATCCGTATGTTGGGTTTGCCGAAAGGACTCTTCTTAGCGATCCTAAGCTCGAGCACGCGATAGGACCACGCGAGAAGGCCTTTGAGGAATCTCAAAAGGCATCTAGACATTTATACCTTGGGGCTGCCGAAAGGACGCTTTGTACCGATCCTACGCTCGAGCACGCGATAGGGTCCACGCGAGAAGACCTTTCCAGGGGTGAGGTCTTCACCAATCAGCTTGCGGTTAAGGATTGACTGGATAAGATAGCGGTCAGAAGTTCGACTTCGTCTGGTTTCTATATGTGATATCAAGGATTGGGAGGAGTTTGAACTCTTTGCGAGAGCCGTCGAGTGACTAGCGATTAAGACTAAGAGGCAAATTACTGCGGCCTGACGACTTTGGCATCTCAGAAAGAAGAGAAGGGTACAATGTGACAAGGCCATGCTGACATTTCTTGCACGAAGTCCGGCATTGGAGTAAAACTATTGGATAAGTGACTGGTATAGCCGGAACGCACAGTAGACAAGGCAATTTCCCCGCACGGATCATTTCTATGGTTCACGCTGCGAGCACCGCCGCTAGGTTTCACACTCCACTCCACCAAGCACCGCTACCAGCACTCAAATAAAAATTTATTTCCTAGGCTCATGCGCTCCCAGCACCGAAGCCCAGGATTCGCTACAAAGGGCTTTGATGTAATACAAGGCGATAGCCACAAATTGGCAAACGCATTTTGCAGTATGAACAAACTCAAACAGCATTCTGTATATTATGGTTTTGTTACAGGCTGGTCTAACTTGACCGGGGAGTTTCCTGGGTTGGCCATTAAATCATCCAAATCCGCCGAGTCACCTAGAAGCTTGGCTTGAAAGAACGCCACCATCAACCCAGCAGTCACCACCCGCATCGGCCTTCTTGCCGGCCCATTCTTACAAAAATTCTTCGAAATAAAAGTAATCCCCAGGCCGAGCCAGTTATTAAAAAAATCGGCGTGCCCGTACTCGGGCACAACAAATTTCCACGCTGGGCCAACCATATCAGAGTAAAACTCTTTATAGTTGTCACCTTCAGGGGCGCATGCACCTCCCAGTCCCGCTCCTAACACCGCTACTGGAGCCGAGACTTGAATCGAGTTCGGGACGTATGTAAGAACAGAATCTCCGGATTTTCGTGAACTTTTCTCCCCACCGCCATTAACAGGGTCGAGTAAAAACTGGGCTTTAATCGGCACCACCGATTTGCAGAAAAGTTTCCGGAGCACGCCGAACGCGACTTTCCCGCCGCGGCTCTGGCCGGTTAGGGCGAATTTGGACCAATCGGGCGAGGCTTTGGTTCGGCGGTGGAGGATCGGGTGGCGGGAGAGCCAATCCTTGAGGTTGTCTTTGAGCCAGCGAATGACAGCACAGGATCCTTTCATCTCGTAGACGGCTCCTGTGAGACCAATTAGAGGGTACATCTGGAGGGTGGGATGGGGTCGGGTCCGTCAGAAAAAACACTGAGGGCAGAGAGGGCAGGGAGAGCAGGGAGGGCAGGGAGGTGGTATCTGCCAAGAAGTTGTATCTATCCTGCAGGCGTTACCTGAGGAGCCACCACAGTGTAGCCAGATATCATCCCCTTGAGCATGTCAGATATCATCCCCTTGAGCATGTCAGATATCATCCCCTTGAGCATGTCAGATATCATCCCCTTGAGCATGTCAGATATCATCCCCTTGAGCATGTCAGATATCATCCCCTTGAGCATGTCAGATATCATCCCCTTGAGCATGTCGACTTTTGAGTCGACTCAAAGTCAAATCAGAGATCATCCTCTTGAGCATGTCAAAGATCCAGTAGTTGCGACTCTGCGAGTGGCCCAGGGGATGGGGAAAGGGGGGTATTTGCTGAACCTGTCGGGGAGGTGTTATATGTGGGGAAGGTCGTACCTGCGGAGCAACCACAATGTAGCCATGAGACACCACTCTCTTGAGCATGTCAGCGAACCAGAAGTTGCGAGTGGCCCACCCGTGCTGAAACACAACCACGGGGAAGGACTTCGGTGATGACGTGGCAGGCGCCCATAGGAGGATAGGGCGCGGAGGCAGCACCTGGATGGGGTGAGGGGAAGGGGAGGCGAAGGGACAGATGGAGGGAAGAGAGGAGTGTATGAGGCAGAGTGGGAGTAGAAGCAGGGAGAAACAAGGAGCAGACAATGCATTGGTCTGACGAAGGTGTTCACGCCGAAACTAGTTACCACCACTTGATTTACACAAGATTTTTTCTACAACCAGGTCCTCGAGCCTGAGCGTTCTAAACAAAATTTGCTAACTACAGAAACCGCAGCCTCGTAATGTCTCCCGCCACCAAGTGGTGCTCCTTGTGTTATGAGGCAGAGTGGAAGTAGAAGCAGGGAGAAACAAGGAGCAGGCAATGCATTGCGCACACCTTGAAAGCGAACATGGGTCCGTCAACCGACGATTGATCCACCGCCTTGTGCTGCCCCGAGCTAAACACCTTCCCAGGTAGTGTGCAATGCCATGCGGCGACTTGTGATGCCATGCGATGACAAGCAGTGAAGTGCGGTGATGTGCGGTGGTACGTTGGACACACACCTTGAAAATGAACATGGGTCCGCCAATAGAAGATCGTTCCACCGGCTTATACGGCCCACGACTAAACACCTTCCCCGGCGTGCCGTCCGCTCCTACAAGTTTCGACAGCGCGGCCGCCGTTCCATTGACCGTCCAGGCCGGCAGACCCGGCGTGCCGTCATCCGTTCCGATCAGGCTCGCAGCGGTCGGCAGGAACTCGGAGGAGGGCGATGGGGGATTTTGAGCAGACTGACTTCGGAGCGGGGAGAGAGGTCCGCGGATGGGCGTGCTAGTTTCTGGTGGGTTTGTCGCGGGAATGGATTCGGAATAAGGGGTTTCCGGGAGAGAGCTGGCAGTTGGCTGCGGATGAGGCGCGTCAGGGAGAGGCGACACGTCAGGAAGAGGCGACACGTCAGGGAGGGGCGATGCGTCGGACACGATGGATGCTAAAGAGAGGGCCAGGATCGAAGTTACTACGAGGATCGCGACGCGGGAAATCGCGAGAGGACGTAGGAGGGATGGGCGATTCACCGCCTGAGAGGAGACTATAAACCCCTTGCTACTACCGCTCGGGATAAAAGAGATGAGCGAAGAAAAGCGAGAAGTCGCCATATAGATGTCAGCTGAATGCCTGGATTTCGTTCTGCACGTATTGGCATGAGCACAGATGGACCACTAGTTGTGGCTGGTAGGGCTTGGTCAACTCGGGTGATGTGGAAGTCAATTCTCAATTCGCCTCTGCTAAGTGCTGAGATATCGGTGAATGAGTTCTCGTCTTCTCAGCGCCAATGCGGGAGCTCGCGTTGAATTATTGGCCTATCCATGTCGCTCGGAAATACCTGTGAGGACAACCATAGAAGGTATGGTGGAGTGGAAAGCGTCGACGTGGGGGCGGCTGGTGTGAAATGCAGGTTGGAAATAAGCTGATGGAGGTGGCGTACGAGGCAAAGTGCTGGGGCAGGCGAACTAGAAGGCGAAAGCGAGGCAGCGGCGGAACTGTTACCATAGGGTACTGTTGAGGAAACCGATGATGCTTACGAAGCTTTCGCCAGCAAGTTGGAGGTGGTTATGTTGTGCTGGCATTTCGCCTTTCATGCAGGAGCCAGAAATCATGCGACGTGTGGAGCACCGACACTAGGCCACCGCTGTCCTTTCAGTGAATGGTATCTGGTCTGGGGGTACATGACCTGTCCGTGATATTGTATAGCAAAGCATCGTACGTCGTGCTTCGCCCGAGTTACAATACTGTTCCGTACCAACCAAAAAAATCACATATACTGTATTTACATCTTTCGTAACATTTTCTTCCCTCCCACCCCTTTGGAACCTGGCTCGCTCGCTCCTCCCTCCCCACGAAAAGCTGGCATTTCCTCCCCAGCCTCAAGCTAAACTTCCCGCTAAGCACAGCCACAAGCGAGCCTAGATTTCACCAGCAATGCGAACCTCGTATTCACATCCCGTAATCTCTCTCGTCCTCGTCCTCGTCCTCTTTCTCCTCTTCCCATCCCTCGTTTGTCGTGCGGACGAGACTCCCGGCAAGGTGTTCAGCAAGGGGACCTATCCGGTGGCTGCGAAATGGCTGCCACAGCGCCGACGGGTTCTTTTCAGGGTAAATGCTGTGTGTAGTATAACTCGGGACGCGCGCGCACCATGGGTAAACCCGCTAGCGGCGTCAATGACAATGCTCCTGAGGCTACTGGCCTCGTTTCTGAGGAGGAAACAAAACTAGCAGAAAGAAAATCTCCTCGTCTCCTCTTTCCTGCTGTTCCCTTCTCGCACACTACCCGCGCGTCGCCCAATCCCTCACCTCACTCTCACATTTCCTCACCCTCACTTTCCATCGCGTTCACCCTCACTTGTTCCCCAGCAAACCTTCCCTCCCCTCTCATCAGCAAGCCTCTCCGCTTCTGCCTGCCCGAGCTGCCCTTCAAGCACATCTCCTCCCCTCACCCGCTCTCTGCTTCCCCCGAACCCCCTCCTCCCCCACCCTCTTCTCCCCCCAGAGCAACCCCCCCAAGCCTCTCCGCATCTGGTCGCCCAAGCCTGCCTCCGCCACCGCCCTGCCAGTGCTGCTCTTCCAACACGGCTTCCCCCTTACCCCATCTCCCCCCCCGTCCCCCTACCGCATCTTTCCCCCTTCCTCAACATGTTCTCCCCACAGAGCAATCCCCCCAGGCCTCTCCGCATCTGGTCGCCCAATTTCCCCCAACGCCCCCCTCCTCCCCTTCCCCCCCTCACCCTGTTCTCCATACTAGAGCAACCCCCCCAAGCCTCTCCGCATCTGGTCGCCCAAGCCTGCCTCCGCCACCGCCCTGCCAGTGCTGCTCTTCCAACACGGCTTCTCCGCCCAAACTATTTACTACTCTCGCCTGCTCTCCCGCGTCGCTTCTCACGGCTTCATTGTCGTTGCTCCCCAGGTGGGTAGGTCAAATAGGTAAGCATAGGTTCAATGCGGTGACTGGGTGCACGCACGGTGCTGCTTTTTCTCCACTCAAGCCATCTACTACTCTCGCCTGCTCTCCTCATCTCTTCCCACGGCTTCATTGTCATCTCATCATCGCTCCCCAGGTGGGTTCGTGCGCATCTATGCACAAATGAGTAAGCATGAAATAAGCATGGATCTATTCTATTGCGGTGAGTGGGTGGGTGGGTGCACATTCAGTGCTGCTCTTCTAACACAGATCCTCCGCTCAAGCCCTCTTCTACTCTCGCCTGCTCTCCCGCGTAGCTTCCCATGGCTTCATCGTGTCGCGCCCCAGGTGTGTATAAGAGAGGAAAGGAGTATCGTATTACCACAGCCACCAATGCAAGGCCTGAAATTCGGCGTCTGCCAGGGTGATGCCCTGGCAGCGCTCTCAACTCTCCTGCACCCGCACTCTCCCCTCGTCCCCTCCCCCTCCTCCCTTTTTTCCCCTCTCCACCTGCTCCCTCATACCTTCTGTCATTCCAAGATGTATCCCATAACCACCACCACCAATGCATATCCCGAGATCCGAGCATCTGCCAGGGTCATCATCAGGCTGCACTCTCACCTCTCCTCCACCCTCACCCCTTCCCCCTGTTTTTTCCCCTCTCGCCCTCCCCATTCCTCCTTTCTCACTCCAAGATGTATCCCATAACCACCACCACCAATGCAATCCCTGAGATCCGTGCATCTGCCAGGGTCATATCCTGGCTGCGCTCTCACCTCTCCTCCACCCTGTCCAACCGCTTCAAACTCCTTGCCTCTCCCAACTGGTCGAAATTTGCTATTGCCGGGCACAGTCGTGGAGGTGCTGTTTGCTTTGCCTTATTGAGGCAGCTTATAGTGCCTTCTCCAGTGCCTCTTAAGGCTGTTGTGCTTTTGGATCCTGTAGATGGTAATCCCAATGGTACCCGGTTTGGAATAAACACATTTGCTACACTTGTTAGGAAACCTGATTCGTTAACTGTTAGTGCACCTGTACTTATCATAGGAGCAGGGCTAGGGCCTGTGCCAAGGAGAAAGGGAAGGAGACCTTGTGCCCCGGAAAAGTTGGGGCATACATACTTTTATTCGGACCTTGCTGGGCCGGCTGTACATGCGGTGATGCCGAATTATGGGCACAGTGACATGGTCAATAGCCGAGGGGATCGATGGAGTGGTGGTGAACTCAACCAAGAGCTACACCTTCCAACTCGATTTTCTACATCAGCTAAGATGATACATCTAACAGGGAGATCGACAGCACCTGCATCGAATGGGATTTGTCCCGGTGCCCATTCAAGGAGACCTATGCAGGTGGCTACTGCTGGAATGATGGTTGCTTTCTTGCAAGCCAAGTTGTTGAGTGATTCTGCGAACCTGGATGATATTCTTGCGACCCCGGGCCATTGCCCTGTCAAATTAGACCCACTTGTATCCAAGTAATTTTTTTGAAACACTAAGGTGTTAAGCCATTTGCTGTATCAATTAACATAATCTTAGCAGTTCTTCGTAATTTTCTCTCCTCAATCGCTCTATTCTTCTCGCAGAAGCTGGTAGCGCGTACATGAAATGCTTGTTCCATTTCTGGGCGCGGTGCATCAGAACGCGTATGGCGAAAACAGCTTTCCTCTTCGCGAACCGAAAGCACCTGCAAAAATGCCATGGCGAACCGAAGAGACTGTCCAGGTGTTACATATTCAAGCTGCACCGCACCGAAGCGCGCACCGAAATGTCTCTCTTTCCGTGGGTCAGTTCTGCACAGAAACCTAGGCAGTCCACGTGGCAGCACATCCAGCCAGTAATTTTATAAGCGACTTTCTATGGACATACCTCCTCCGTACTCACTATTGTACCCAGAAATAGGTGCTCTCTCCATACTCTCTGTAGCAAGCAAATACTTCTTCGTACTTTCCCTGCACCCTAGGATCAGCTTCCAATTATTTGTTCGTCAAACTTACCATAATACAGAGTTCTGCTACCATACTGGCCCTCGCATTTTTCGTTCGTTTTCCTGACACTGACGGCACCCAGAAGCAGCCTCAGTGGTTACCACAGCGTAGGGCCGACTATTGAACAAGCTTCATCAGTGGTCGATTGTTGCGAACCACTTTTGCTGACGTGGTTGGAGAGATGGTTTCCGTAGATTACCAGTCACCTCAAACGGCAAAATGTAGGCTTCCGCGTGGCATACTCCCGACTGCTCTTGCCACGTCATTAGCTGTCCTCTGCTTCCTCGCGTCAATCGTCCGTGTCGAATGTCAGGCGGTCAGTACATATGCGGCGGCGGCCAGCTCAAATGTAACGTCAGCCACCTCAGTTGACACGGCCGCTGACACTCTTGATGCAACGCCTGGAAAAGTGTTCAGCCGCGGACCCTATACCGTGAAACGCGGAGCGTTCCTTCTCAAACGGCGACGATTCCTTTTGAAGGTAGAATAACGCTCATGCCTTTCCACCGGCGAGCCGCTAATCATCTCGCCACTTAAGACAGGCCCCGCACCCCTTCCCCAACCCTTCTTCCCTTTGCCTCCTTATCCGTCCGCAGCCTTTCTATCCCGTTCCATCCTTTGCCGTCCTTTGCCGTCATTTCTCGTCCCATCCCATCTGTTCCCATCTCTCCTCTTCCCTTCCCCCTGGTCTTCCCCCTGCTCCCCTCACTTCGTCCCCCATCTCCAAGAGCAACGTTCCCAAGCCTCTCCGCATCTGGTCCCCCAAGCCCACCCAACACCCCCCTCCCCCTCTTCTCTCCCTCCCCCTTCCCCCTTTTTCCCCCGGACCCTCTTCTCCCCACCAGAGCAACCCCCCCAGGCCTCTCCGCATCTGGTCACCCAAGCCCGCCACAGCCACCGCCCTGCCAGTGCTGCTCTTCCAACACGGCTTCTCTGCTCAGACCTCCATGTACTCGCAGCTGCTCACGCGCATAGCCAAGCACGGCTACATCGTCGTGGCTCCCCAGGTGTGTGGATGCGTGCATTCGGTGTACAGATGGGTAAGAATGGGTTTAGTGCGGTGGTTAAGTGTGCATCTGGTGCTGATCTTCCAACACGGCTACTCCCAGCTGCTCACGCGCATTGCCAAGTACGGCTACATCTTCGTCGCTCTCCAGGTATGCTTCGTGCTCAGATATCCATTCCTAGCTCTCAGGTATGGGATTATTGTTGGCAGTTAGGCATGGCTCGGTTCTGGTGAGTGGATGGTGGCCTCCTCTTCCTCCCTCATTTCCCCTTTCCTCTCCCCTCCCCACCCCCCCTTTTCCCCCAGATTTATCACCACATAGATGTACCCTTCAACTACAGGCTACAATACAATGGCCCCACCATTCCTTTCTCATCTAGCCTCTCCCCCATCCTCCCCCCCCCAACCTCCTCCCCTCTTCCCCCTCCTACCACAACCCAGATGTACCCTGTTACAGCAGGCTACAATACAGCGCCAGAAATGCGCGGTTCAGCCAACGTCATCGGCTGGCTGCGTAAACGACTGGCGAAGGTCCTCGCCAACCGCCTCAAAGTGAAAGCCGTTCCCGATTGGGACAAGCTTGCTATTTCGGGGCACAGTCGAGGAGGTAAAATCGCGTTTGGAGTCGCACGGGGCTTAGTTAAGAAATCCCCCGTCACAATCGGGGCAGTTGTTCTGGTTGACCCTGTAGATGGCGCTTCAAACAAAACCCAGACCCCGCCAGCTACACTGACCCACCGACCAGGCTCCATCAGCCTCGGCATTCCTGTACTCGTTATAGGAGCAGGGCTGGGCCCCATTCCAAACCAACCAGGTGGTATGCCCTGTGCACCAGCGTATTTCGGCCACAAGTACTATTACTCGGATCTTGCAGACTCGGCATATCATGTGGTCATGCCCAGGTATGGCCATGCTGATTTCAACAACGATATGCGGGTGACGGTCAATGTTTGCCCTGGAGGGCAGAAGAAAGTGAAAGCCCGGGTGGCAACTGCTGGGCTGGTGGTGGCATTTCTCAAGGCTAAGCTCGAGGCTGATTCTAGTGATTTGGACGATGTGTTGGCCAACCCAGGCCATGCTCCTGTTACGCTGTCACCTGTTGAAAGTAAATGAAGCTTCTTCTTGAAGCATGGAGCATTGCAGACATGCTTGTATGTTCGGTATGCCTGGCACTTCCCTTTCTCAGCAGCACCCATGTCAGAGTTCTGCCTATGTTGTACTACACTTACCAAACTACGTGGATCATCTGTACAGAAGATAAATCACATTTTGTATATGGCAAATGGGAAAGCCACGCGGATCTTCCTAATGCTGCATTCCAAACTACGGTAGCTGTAAACATTATGAGCACGGGCATCTAGCCATCGAGCTGGCATCACACAGGGCAGCCAGCCAGCTCTGCGAATCGAATTGCTTTAACACACCACTCCCACTCCTAGTACATCTTTTAGTGCTATACATGCACCCGCGAGCGCTGTATTTACACCATTTATGCCAGCTGGACCTGGGTGGAGTAGGGGCAGGCAAGGAAATCGCCAATCTCCTGCACCAGGTACTGCTTCTCGCTCACGCTCAGGTTCATGCCAAAGCGGTGCGTGCGCACGCCCTCCGAGACCTCGCAAGCTGTCATGAATCCCGCAAACTGGCCCTGAAGTGAGACAGCATGCAACAGGGTGGACATACATATGAAAAAAAAACAGTCAGACAGCTTCCAATGGCATTCGACAAATGGAGACATTTCAGAAGATGACCATGCTCGCACGCACGGATGCACGCACGCACACACACACACACCCACCCACCTGCACACAGACAGACCCACATATACCCCCCGCCCCCCGCCCCCACACGCACACACACAAGTTCCTATCCACTTACCCCAGACACCACGATCTTGACATTGGAGATGTCGGACGCCTTGCCGTTCACAGAAGACTTGCGGCAGCAGCACTTGCGGCCAAGGAAGGACGAAGTCATCGTGAACTCGGAGCGGGTGAAGGTGAGGTGGCGGCGAGTCAGTGCCTTGACAACCATAATGATGGAAACGCTGAAAAGGAGGGGATTATTTATGGATTTTTGGAAATAGTAGGGACAGTACAAATTGAAATAATGACAGAAGCGAAGGTGATAAGCCAAAAACTTGATAACCAATAGGTATAATGAATGTAATGGAAAAAAAAAAAAAAAAAAAAAAAAAACACCCTGCACAGTAGGAATCCACAAGACGTGAAGTAGGAACGTCAAGGGAAAACATTCGGCTCGCACCAAAATTATGTACAGGTGCTTACCTAAGGACCAGTGAACCGAGGCCAATAAGGGGACACATGGAGCAGAAATCAGGCTCGGAAGGAGTGAGCGCATCAAGATTATGCAAAGGTGCTACTTACATAAGGACCAGTGACCCGAGGCCAATAAGGGGACACATGGAGCAAAAATCTGCGTTGGACGGAGTGAGCGCATCAAGGTCGATGAAGAACACGGCGAAAATTGCAACATAGATCTGGGAGCAGCAAAGCCGACAGGTGGAACGAGAGTTCTGAAGTGAAACGGCGGAATAGCAGGAGGGACACTGCCAGGAAGCAGCTATACGTTCGGCAGTAGGTTAAAGCTCGCGTCTCATATTTCTGCCATCCAACCAAGTGTTAGACGGTTGGAAGCCGGTAACAGCAGAGTTTGTCGCGAAGCACACCAAAGCAAGGGGTGGTTGGGAAAGTTGGCTGTCGCACACTTCCCCGTGCACACCAAGTGTTTACAACTCCCGAAAATATGAGACTCTGAACTCAGCAGTGACAGAACCCAGGACCAAACCTGTCACCCTTGGCTCAGTTTCCCCCCAAACCAATCCACCCTGGTTTGTTTTGGCCTCGACTCTTTTGGAGTTCGCTGTGTTTTTTTCACCCACTCGTCAAATATTTCGACTTTCGTTACCCAATCAAACCCTGGCAAACCCAACCAAGTGTTAAACGGTTGGAAATTAGAGACGCGAGCTTCAAGACAATGAAACAAAGGCATTGTTTAGCAGAAAAGGACAGGCGAAAACAAGGTTCACATGTGAAGGAAAACATGGCTTTACCAGAAAAAAGGTGTAGAGGACGAGGCAACGGGATGTGAAACCATTCCGCGGAAGGTTAATCTCCAGGAGGTCATCGCCCTTGCGGTTCACGCCCTGTTTTCACCAAAAGGCAACGGATAGATGGCGACGAGTTTGGAAAAAGAACGTGGAGGACGAGAGAATGGGAGGTAAAACTGTTGCGCGGAAGGATAATCTCCAAAAGGTCATCGCCCTTGCGGTTCACGCGCTGTTTTCCACCCACGGATAAATGACGAAGCGTTAAGAGACGAAAGAACATCGAATCTTTGAGTGACGCCTCACAGACAGCAAACGACAACTGGCGAAATGCATCCAACACGCAGCACAACAAGATTCTGCAGATATCCCGTTTTAGCAAAAGGTTGCAGGCATTCCTCAAGAAAGCTAGTTCTGAGAAATGAGAGGAAAGACTCTAAGCATTTGAACGAGAAGCTACTAGCGCTTCGGAAACGCACCAAAAAGGACCCGGTAGGAAGGCCGAGGCGGCGAACGCCAGCCTCCAAGCCGTTGACGGTGGAGTCGCTGTCCTTGGAGGACAAAAGAGCCTGTGATTGGAGGATAAAAAGGTGAATCAGTACCACACGGAAACGAAAAATAATCCGAGTAAAACTCTGAAAACTCGCTGTCCTTGGTGGACAAGAGAGCCTGCGAGGAGATTCACGGCGAATTAGCATGACATCGAAAAGGTGGCCCGATGTAAAGAAACAAAACAGCCCGCAAAGACAAAATTGAAGCTCGCTCATGCTGTCAAGCTCACCACTTTCGCCGAGTCCATGGTTGTGGACGATAAACACGAAGGGAAAGCCTGAGAGTTACACGAGTACGGTTGGAAAGTCAATTGAGGACCAAGGAATAATGTATGTGTTGTGACAAGAGTATGATGATGAAATATATCTGGCAGGGTGGAAAATCCGTTAGGAGTGAGCGACTGACGGGGACGGAGGCGGAAGTGTGAAATTTTTGTGAATGGGCTGGGTTGACCGAAGCGAACAAGGCAGGGATGGGACGGAACTTGACGGAACGGTAACGGGTGTGGAAAAGGGGGACACTGTGAGGAGATGGGATGGGAGCAGGGCTGTCGTTTCGTTTTGGCCCCCCCGGACAAATCAGGGGGCCCGGCATGTACGACCCTGTATTTAGCAGGGTCGGGGCGAATCTCGGCCCTTTAGGCTTCAGGGCTGAAATTTATTCCTCCCTGTAAATCAGGTTTGGCACGGAAAATTCTGCAGCCTCAGTTCTACCACAAAGCTGACAGCTGCACTCCGCTAGTATCAAATTAGCTAGTTAGCAATAAAAAAACTAGTTAGCGTCATTCACTACGCACGCGTAACAGACTTCCTACTCTTCCAACTCTTAGCAAAGATCTGAGATGTGTTTTGCTGCTTGCTATGCCCATTCAGGCCTGAGGGTGCACAACATGACGGGGATCTGAGATGTGTTTTGCTGCTGCATGTTGATTCATGCTACTGTCTGTGTGTCATGGGATGGGAGCGAGGTTGTAATTGGTACAAGTACCAGTTGTTGGTTGAGTTGAATCTGTGGTCCAGCCACGCAACTCCAAATTTGACAGGCTTGAATGCAATCAAAATAGAAACGGGGGGAGGGGGAATGGAGGAGTTTGGGGGGGGGAGGGGGGGGGGAGGAGTGGGAGGGGAAGTTCGAAAGACTTTGTTCCAGGGCTCGCCTAAAATCTACCCTTCACACTCCAGACCAAAGCCCGAAATCAGCCCTGTAATGAATCAGGGCCACAATTTTCTCAACCCATCAATTTCAGTTTTCAAGGGCAACCCAGCCCTGGAATTCAAGGTCCAGCAGGGCAAACGCCCTGCAAGCGACAGGCCTGGATGGGAGGGATGGGTTCCTCGGATAGGAGGGAGTTGTTGCGAAAAGTTCGCTCAATTGAGGCACGAGACGGGACAGGTCATAGGGAATAATTTTGCTGGTGGGTCTGCTGGGGCGGAGCGGAAGAATTCAAGGGGAGAGTAGGCACTAGGCTACAAGCCGGGGCCCTATTCGGTAGCCTTCCAGTCACACTGGACCGACTCGAACTGGGGAAGCCTACATTTTGTTTCGTAGCCTCGGGCCTCTAATCACACTGGAAGGAAGTCTCGTCCGTATTTACAAGAAGTTACCATGTGTTTATGAAGAAATCTCAAGAACAAATTTTCACTTCTGTAAGGGGCTGCCTGATTAACAAACAAAAAATCAGCCCGACAAGTAGAAACCCCTCGATATGGAAAAAGGAAAAATATGAACAAGATCTCTCATTTTTTGACAAACGGATCAAAATGTATTAATTTGACCCGAAAAGACACTAACGAGACGTATACCCTTCAGCATGCCACTGGGAGCAGGCCTGCCTGGGTGGAACTAGAAAGCAGAAATGGGTTAGACTTCCACTGATCGTCGAGTTTGCCTGTGCTCGCAATCTCGTAGCAAGTGTCCTCGCCCTCACTCTGACTGGGTTTCTTACGCGTTCGGTAGCCAAGTCACACTGGGCAGGTCTGTTGTTCTAATAACGATTCGGTGGGCTTTAACAGGGTTCGAATTTGGGCGAGGAAGATCCTCCGCACCAACCGCAGTATAACTTGCTGGGCTACCGAACAGGGCCCAGGAGACCTGGCCTGGAGCGGAGGTCAAACCAGCGGGGCTGCCCGCGCCAGGAGGGCTGCAGCGCAGCAGGCGTGTACGAGCGGTGTTGTGGTGAGGAAGGTGAGGTGACGTTCGAGGCACGGCAGCAAGACGTACCGTACCATCAAGACGTCACGCTCGGCATCCCTTGTGAACCAATCAGAAGGCTCATACAAGACCTGGTTTCACAAACCAATGTTGTTGGGTTTTCCCCGACCCTGACGGAAACACAAATAGGTCCTTGCAAGCAGCCTCGCGATCAGCTACTTGAACTAGCTGAAGTCAACTGCACTAGCTATGATCGATATAGAAAGAGAAAATACTTCAACACAAACATGCTAACACTTTGACGAGGCACAGAACAGGGACAAGCTCAACAGATGCTGGTACGAGTGCCAGCTGATTGGACTGAATCCGAAGTGTATTTCAGATACTACTAGCTGAAACTTGAGCAGTCAGCCATTATAACTAAGGCCAACATTCACAACTCCTCCCCATGCCCATCCCTATTACCACTCCCCTCCCCATTTCCTGGTAAAATCCTGGACAAAACTCCTTCACCCATACGCAAAGCTCTCTCCCCAACCTCACCAACCATCTCATTCACCCGTCGCACCATCGACACAACCTGCTTCCCAACAGTACTCTTCTTGACCTTGATCAATGCTCTTTTGGCCTGCTTAACCGCTTGGCTCCGCTGGACCTGTCGAATGAGCTTGCTTGTGTGCTTCCCAGCAGCACTGGTTTGGAATCTTTTGATGAGTGTGCTTCCCGTGTCAGCGGCTCGTTGAATAAGGGCTTGCGAGGAAAGGTAGATTCGACGAAGAGGGGAGTTAAGTGCTGCTTCCTGCTGCTTCTCCTGCAACGTGCACGAGCCAACATGCAATGCAAAGATTTTAAAAGTCTTATAGAGCGACTTAAAGCAATCGCCAACGTACCATGTAACAGGTCAACCAAAGAAGTGAAAGTACGAGCGTGCATGAAAAACAGGTTTGAGGTTTCTCAGCTTATCTTGGATATCTTCCTCTTTTCCTTTATCCATGTCTCTTTCTCACAACCCCCCTTTACACCCTTTTACCTTAAGCCTCAAGAGTTGCTCGATTCATCCCCGCGTATTCCCAGAGCCTACTGTTTCCTTGGCTAGCCTAAAACAATCCTGGTCTGCAGCTTTCAAAGCTGCTCGAATCGACTCCATGTTGGCATTTGTTCCCGGTCCCAACTCGTTCCTCAGGTTCTATTCAAACTGCATCTTCCAGTCCCCCCCTCCCCCTCTCACCTTCTCGTCTGCAGCCTTCAGAGCAGCACGAATCGCCTCCATGTCGACATTCGTCCCCGGTCCCAACTCGTTCCTCAGCTTCTCCTCCGGATCCTCCTCCTCTCCTTCCTCCTCATCCTCCTCATCCTCACCCATCCCCATCCCCCCTACAGACGTCTTCTTTAAGAGGTCATCACGCGAGTACAGCTTCATTTTGGGCATGCGGGGGGCACGGGGGTTCTGTAGAGAACAAGGGGGACGCGCAAATAGAACAAGGAGGGAGGGAGAGAGGACCAACATACGCTGGATTTCCCGACAACTTATGCAGTACAGTAGATTCGAGCCAAGGATGTAAGCTTGATCTCCACTGCATTCTTCATTGATATTGATGTGCTTGCCCTCCTCCCATGCACCTCCTCACGGTACCACTGCATCCCCTTCCTGGTCC